GCTTCCAACAAAATAATTAATTTAATTCCTTTGGTTTGAGTACCTTTTTTTAAGAGTAAAAGTTAATAAGGAATAAACCTACTCTAAAGTAGAACGCGCACTGAATCGACTCAGGAATGGTCAGATCGGAACAGAGCGTTCGGAACGGAAGCGTATGCCGCGCACCGATTCAGAGACTTCGGAATGCATCGGAATATTTTAATTATTTTATACATTATTGTACATTGTATACTCGCTCGCTGACCCACACACTAGGTGGATGCTTTATTTCCATCCCTTATTTCTAATAAATCGCTATTACCAAAATCTGCATCGTCAAATATCCTAACGTAAATAATGATGGTTCAGGAATATGCACATATTTTCATAAAAAAGTACCTACATTACTCATTAAATAGTTCATTATAAAAAGGTAATACGAATTTATTTAAATTTAATCTGTGAAAAATTAATAGTTTGGGGACGATATTCCAAGTAAATTTAGTATCGACAAAGATAGCATTACATAAAAAAAGATAGACCTTCGGAACGTTCGGAAAAGTTGCCCCTTCGAGAATACTCTGACGATTCCGATCCGATCCGACCGTTCCGATCCGATCGTTCCGATTGAGTGCGCGGTACTGCATTTATTTTCGTATGTACCAAACTCTTCCGAACGCTCTTTTCCGATCCGACCGTTCCGAGTCGATTCAGTGCGCGCCCTGCTTAACTCTAACTTTTTTAACAAAGATATGGACGATGATTTTCGTATTAATTTATTCAGTCGTGCTCGCATGGTTTAATATGCAAACTTGAACGTCTAGAAATATTACCTTGACATCTGCATTCGAATAAAAATAAACCAATTTCTCTCGTTTCCTTCTAGGAGAAGACCATGCAGGAACTGCCGATTGGAAACGACCGCTTTCCTTCCTTAATTAGTTCCTGTTGGTCGCCTCGGCAGGCCGTACGAAAACGAAAGTGGCTGCAAAACTCGAATAACAGACCGGCGTAGACGTGATAACGATTGTTGTGTTAGACGTGCAATATTTATGCGACTTGAAATTAACATTTTTTTTCATTTAATCGAAAGATTGAAATCTGCTTGTACTTGCAGCTCCGTGTGACATGTGCATGAAGAAATAACGTTTACCCTATACGGCAGAGCGCTCGGAAAAAGTCGTCGAATTTCATCTTTTCCTTAAAAAAAATCTCGCAATAACTAATGTTACGTGCGGATGATCAATATCATCCGTTTTTATAGTAGAAAGCGCAAAAAATTCTACTATTGTTGCGATTGCATCTATTTGTTGACATTTCTATTACTTTTAGCGCACTTTTGCAGTACTAATTTCACCGCAAAAGTTGCATAAAAAGTACACTACTTGTTAAACTTTAATGCCTCGTTAAAAGGCCCTGTTAAAAGCTCCGGCGTACGTTACGAAATGGGTAACAACCGTAACGAAATGCCTAACGTAAACGTTAATCAAACATTTTGACAAGCGCCCGACCCCGGTTAAATGGTGTAGGTATCGAAAAATCGAAATTCACGCGATGGGAAACGTTTCTACACCTCCATTGTTTGCGTATATTACGCGTTAATTGCCAACCGGGCTGTTTCATATACGAAGGAAGGTCGTAGGAATCGTCCTCATTAGCTGGATAGATTTATGTCCGAGATTAATAATTAATATATACGGAGATTTTTACGATTGTCGTACGGTTAGTAGGTAGTTATTAGAATTGTTTATTTAAAATTTATAAAGGTAGGGACTTTCTTCGATTTGATGTTGTAGATTACCCTGGTGTATTAAGCCTGTCGATGAGATGTCCGAAGTTTTCGTTTTACGTAAAATATTGAAGACCGGTATGCAAAACTATCGGCGTAATCGTAAATTTTATATCTAACGCAGGTGTGGTCGCAGTAAAAATGACAAACGATGATGCAGCCAATGTTGAAATTGATCAGAGAAATCAGAGTAACGTAAGAACGAAAGAAAAAGTGAATACTTCAGTTTCATAAATTATTTATTTTGTATGTATGTGCTCTAGAAAGCGGTCCGAATAGACTTGCATTATAATATAAAGCGATAATAATAAGCGTGTAAATAAGAAAATGCCTGCGTTCGAGGACTTTATGTAACACGTTAGTTCACTTGTGGGTTTTGTTTGGCCGGAATGAAAACAATAAAACGTGAGGAATTTTAATTTTAGTTAGATTGTTGTTGGTTTAATGCTAGCCTGTTCGATCCATCGGCCACGATTTCATTCCAAGAAAAATTATCAACTTGTCTGAATCTCCGATTAATATGAAGTGTAAGTACCGTGATAAACAAGACATTATTTGTTGCCAGTAAACAGATATTAATGAATTTTCATTTTTATTTAACATAATGATTGGTTATAAAATCGTTTAACCTTAGGTATAGTAATTTGATTTGTTAGTTACACATTATTATTATTGGCATTTTCGGTTTTATACAATACTTCAAATTTAAGTAAATAACCCTGCAGGATTTGTTTAAGATTTATAAACATCAAGACAGGTTATAGACCTATTAAAGTATAAGTACCGAGCTTTGAAGTATACCTACATAAGTAAAAATTTACATGCAAGTAGGTAATATTAACCGGAACTAAGCTGTTATTAACCAAAAATTTCTAATTAAATTTCTAACACGATTAGATGTCATTAGTTCCCGATGTTAATTATAAAGAGTGTACCGAAATTAAAAACGTTATATCACACAGATTTTTTAATTGAATGTTGAAAAAACGAAGTGACAAGTTAAATATACATATTTTGCGACCATATTATTAATTATTATAATTAATTTAAAAAAGCGCTATAAAATTTTAACGACGAGTTTCTACAGAATCGCCTCAAAAAATTCAAAATTGCAAATATAAATTTCGCATCTTAATTTTGCAAATGCTGCGCTTAGAATTAAATTATCTGGCTTGTAACTCGAGGTTATTAAATATGTCTATTACCCACTGCGTACTTATATTTTGTTATTTAAGACATCATTAGATTATTTCGAAGGAATCCATACGGGAGTCGACTTTAATTAGAAATGTGTTTACATCTTATAAAATAGTCACGACATAGTTTGCATACCATTAGCCATATTATTGCATAATTTGTTACACAAAAATATTCAAATGATCTAAATTCCCAATACTAGTGAATGTAGCAAGTAAATTGATTTTTACGAATGATTCTACAACAGTAATTCCCTCCTAAATCCTCCTTTGATCTCAGTTTTTTTTAATAATGTAAGTAGGTACCTAATTTTTCGAATTTCGAATCGATTGAATTCTAATGGGTATTTTATCGCACGGAGACATCTAAAAGAGCGTTTCCATCGGATTCGTTAACATATTGGGCACCGTTACAAAACAATGTGCACTTTTGTGTTGCAATGAAATTAAAATTGAACCCACGATCAAGTACTGCAACTCCAATTATATGCGCCGAAGGAATTAACTTCAATTTTGCATTTAGACTCATTGTTATTGAAAATGGCGCAACCTCTTTCAAAATACGCGAATTTTTATCGCGGATTACTCGTGAATAAATAAATAAGTACAGATAAAAAATGTACCCAACAATTCTTGTTATTATGCATATTGATTATTTTATTTCGCAGAAATCCACGGTACTTATTCAATTATTTCGATAAATATATTACAATTTTATAAACTCGAAGATGCATATTATTTATTTCTATTTGTTAAGTGCACATTGCAAGGCCGACCTGTAGATGATTATTCCTCATGGTCTTTACCAACCAGTACTTATCGAACAAAACAGAAATGATTAGTATTTAAATTCGCAACTGTAAGATTATATTTTTCTTCTGCCGGATATAGATCGAAGAATTCCAGCTTGTAATCAGTGGCGTGTGAATCCTTTTGGAAAAGTGAAAATACAATATTTTATAATAATGTCCGGCGAATAACGCGCGTTTCTTCGAGACTTTCGATGCCCGTGAAATCCATTATTATGTCTAATTATTCGATTGAATATTATAATATTGTTTTTAATTGTTCTCGCAAAAAAGTAAAGCAAGGTGAAAACAAACAAATTAAAATATGAACAGCTGGCAAAGCTGTGGATTTCACCAAAAACTAATTATGCATTATTATAATTAATAATACAATAAGAAAATTGTAGCAAACGGTGGAATAGTGAAACTTAGACAATAGGCAATATTTCCTTATGACTATATTTAACTACTGATAATTATTAGGATAATAATTAAACAGTATTCTTTGAAAATTAGTAGTTTGTTTAGAATTAATTGAACCATTACAGCTCTATATTTAGCATCGTTATAAATCTAGTTATATGAACAGAATTCCGAAAGAAAGTAAATCCGAGCTAGATTAATCACAATTAGGATACTTTCAGCGTTTAATAAATAAATATTTCTCAACTCAATAGTAATTAACAAGTTTCGTTTTCAGTTACGGACTTGTTAAAGCGCACGGTTTGGTTGAAATTGCCGCAGAACGGCTATCCTGCTGTGAATCTTAAAACCATCAATAAATGTCGATAGAAAGGCAGTCCTTGGACAGTTTGCGGATTTTTTACTATTTTTTTTCTTATCAAAATCATCCAATTGAGTCAATTGAGTCAGTTGAATCACTTGAATCAATAGTTAAATCAATAATTGAGAAATTGTATGCACCAAAATTGGTTGCAGGAAAAATCGTGCCTTATTTTGGGGAGATATTTGTAGAGTTAATTAGTAGTTTGTATTAAAATTGCTAATTTTTTCTTAATTTTTTTATGTTTCAATAGACAAAAATTATTGAGTTTTAATTTTTTATTCTATCAAATTAGACACCTGCCCACTATTAAAAGTTAATTGAACTTAATGGTCTCATAAATTACTAAATATTTGATAAAAAATTTATAACACCATAAATTATTATTATAATACAAAAAAATTGCAGGAATAAAAAATTAAGAATATTTTCCTAAATCTAAAATAATGATAAAAATTACTTACTGCAATGAACAGCCGCATTGTTTAATTCCTGATTCGCAACGCCCGAATAAAAAATTGTCTATTAATATCGAATATTATTGTATCTGTGCGGTGAACGCGTCGTCCTTTAAGAGAATGCACTACTGAAACGGTTCATACGTTCACGAAGAGTGAGAGTGCGACTTCGAATTCTTCAGGTGAAGTAGCTCACTTTATAAACTAGGCTTATTAGGGGGACAATTCGCTCATTTTTGCCAAACAATTCGCAATGCCTCGACCACGTTTTCAAATATTACCAACTCGATCGACCCTGGGGTTTATTTGGAACATAATTTTCCAGTATTTCCTCCAGTGAATAGAGGAGAATTAATTTTTCTCCAATCGTAGAAAAAATGTTTAAATTAATGGGTATTGAAGAGGATTGAAGGACTTTTTTGTTCTTCACCCGGAAGAAAATTCTCTCACTAATGAGCTACTAATTTACCACTATCAACCTAAGCCTATCTGGGCAATTTACTGCATCTGCATATAATCTTCGTTGGGGATCAGTATTGGCGCACTGCTCGCTTTGGGTAATGGAAACTAAACTTGTACGAACAGTTAATGACCTGGATAATGTCCAAAAATTGATATTCTGATTGAATAGCGAAAATAGTTTGCGTTACTTAATCGGTATTGCGCTTAAATTGTAAGGTAATTTGTGTACAGACTGCTCGAATAGCGTTTTATTTTTGTTACGTGGGTGACGATTTGAAGATTATTTGCTCGGCAGCGACATGGGATTTGAGTGTTTACCAAAAATGGAACAAAACAGTGTTATTTTAATAGATACTTGAGCATGTAGATAAGTTTTATTGATTTGCGAAATGGCGCGGTTTGATAATGACTGATTTGTTTATAGAGAATTTTTATGTTTTACAGATGATTTTTTGTTGGTTTTAGAATGATATTTGAATGATTTTATAGTATTTTAACTCTATTATAATTCTTTCCCAAGAAGTTTGATATTTTTTCCAATTTTTTAATGCATTTTAAACCAACTTAACGGTCATTTGTTGCATAAAAACTGTTTAAAAGCATATGACACAACTACCTTGCATCACATTTTTATTATTTTTAACCATTTTCGCGCAAACCCTGTATATTAAGTTAACAATATTGAAATAAACACAAACATAAAACGCTATTAATTATTTTATAAGAAAAATCCTCTTAATGAAACCGACTAGGAAAACACCTATCAAATAATTATCTAGTAATCGCTTAATAAAAAGTTTTGAAAGTATAACGTGTTCGTGATGCTAGTTAATTCAAAGTTTTTAATGATTTATTGAATTATTTAATCTGTCTCGTGCTCAACTGTGTTGCATAAGAAATTGTCGTCAAATTTCATCACGTAAAATTTCTACTCGAGCTCTGCATTATTTCGCTTTCTTGCCTCCTCTACTATCCACATTAATTTAATATTTGAAGGTGTTACGGTTCGCAGGATTAATAAACTGAATTCACTTCAATTATCACCGTTAATTATAGCCGAGGAACACGGGAAAAAAATACATTATAAAACCAAAATAATATTTTATTACTAAATATAATGAGATCGAATCACATTCTACCAATTCCCCATTTATGTATCCCTTCTTTTCCTCTTCCTTCGTTCGTCTTTTTTGTGCCTGCTCGATCGAGACCTTCGCTCGCTTTCCCTCGAATGCGATCTTCGTTTTCTTTTACTTCCATTCTTCACGCGCGAGCGACTACTTCTCGGCGCATCCACCTCCCAATCGTCTTCCTTAGGCGACGTTTCGGGCGATTCAGACCATCTCCAGTTCCTCGACTCCAAATGATTCCTGCAAAACAGAGATTCTAGTATCATGATTCTCATTACAAGACCTTTGTAATCACCTTTGCCTTTGTTCGGTATCTTTCTTCATCTTATTATACACACTAAACGAATTCCCAGGATTCCTAAACGTGTGTAAGAAATTACAGCTACTTCCTTTAGGACATCGATTAGAAAAATGCACCCCTAAAATCATACATTAACAAACAATCACGTTAATTTCGCATGTAAAAACCTACCGCAAACAGCCGAATTCCAACTGGGTATATTCACAAACTGTACGCTGATCTGTCTACCAGCGTACCATCTACCGTTCAACCCCCTGTAGCATTTCAGGGCGGCTTGCGTGGAGTGGAACTCGATGAAAACGTTCCCGCGCAGATGCGATTCTTTGTTACAGCAGGTGACGAACAGGCCGAGCTCGCCGAAGGTCTCCAGCTCGGGAACTACGTCGTAGAAGAACTCGTCGTAGCAGGTTTTGATTTCGTGCCGTTCGAATTCCAGCCCGGCATCGGCGAATCGGTCGCTTTCGGTTTTCTCGAGGCTGTAGTGCGAGAAGAAGTTGGGTATGAGGAGGATTTTGCTGATGCCGGGACGGACGTGGTTTCTGGAGCAAACGTCGAAGAAGCGACAGGTGGCTGTTTTGCTGAAAAACGGACACGGCGGTTTGTTCGGGTTGGTTTCTAGCGTGGTTTTTAGATGGTCCGGGGTGTCTCCGCCGTACTCGATGAAGTCTTCTACTTTCGCTTTCGACAGTTCCTGTTGCCGGAGTTGTTCTTGTAATTCGTTCTCTTTTTGTTGTCTGAGTTCTTCTCGGCGTTTCTGCTCTTCTTCCCATTCTAATCGGATTTTTTCGTTCTGTCTGGCCCGCTCCTCTTTGGCTAGTGCTAGTTTTTGTTGTAACTCTAGAAATACTTTTTGCGCTTCTTTTTCGGCTCGTAACCATTCCCTTTCTCTTGCTTCGTGGATTTGTTTCTCCTCTAATTCTTTTTGTCTATCTCGGTTTAATTTTTCTTCCAAAAGGGCCTGGTAGGAGGGAGAATTTTGCAATCGTTCGAATTCTAAAACATACAAATTGTAATAAAGGAAGTAATGAATTAATTAAACGTGTTTATTTGTACCTTCGGCTTCTTTCTCGTCTCGTAATCGTGCTTTCCGTTGTCTCAGTCGTTTTCGGCGCAATTTTTTTGCTAATTTTCTCCATTCTGAATGTCTAGATAAAATTAAGAAAACATAACCACAAAAAATACCTATTTTATTTACTGGTGAAAAATATTTCTAAATTAACCACTGTAATATTAATTTACAATAATTATTCAAAAACACTGCTATAATAGTGAAACGGGATGAACAAATAATAAAAATATTGGATTTTTTGTAGTTGTATGATACCTACCACAGAATTATAGTGCATGTTTGTTATATTTTTCAAAAAGGATACCTACTTTCCCATAACTTTTAAACGTGTAAAAATCTTCGTATTCCAGTAACGCTTATTCTGCAAAAGCAATAATAAAAGATTTATTTTAAAATTAAAATCATTCAGATAAAAAATAAAACATGTACTTTTTAAATATGACATTTGACGTCTGACCTCTCAAAGATTTAACTGCGACTTCTACTAAAATGTTCGTCAGTCATTTTCTACTTTTTATTAAGTGCCTCTTACTCATCAGTTATTGGGCGAAATAAATTGCCAAAAACGATTTTGAATTTTCCCAAATGTTGGGTTATATGGGCGAGTTCCGAGACTTCCGAGTTCCGCGTTCATAATGTGCTTATTTTAATTTTTTGATAGCTAAATTACCCGGGCGACCTTGAAGTTATATTAGATTTCGCCAATTCGATTCGAACTCCCCGAAGAAAAAAAAAATAGAGGAAGTGAGGTGCGTGGTACCGCAGTGCTCGTGCTCGTGCTGCTCTGCGTATTTTAAATCAAATTTTGACGTTAATGTGCAGTAGTGCTGGTGCCACCGAAATACATTGGTTAGATAACAATAATGCCGATTTGGAAGGGCTTCCGTAAAACACGATAATTTAACGGTGTCTTTGCGTATTGTCGCATAAGTAAGATTTCACTATTTCAGCCTTTTAAAATAAGTAACCACATTCACATCAAATCGCTCATGATACTACTTTGTTCTACAACGTTCGATGCCATTGACCAGACTTAAATAATTTAGAGACATATAAGGGTTAATACTAATTTATCAGTTAAAAAAAAGTGGAATGGGAGAAAGAGATTGGAGGCCTTTCGTTTATGGAGGAGTAGCTTCTTGCGTTGCTGAATTCGGTGAGAAACATTTTAAAATACATACATGTTATTTTTCTACTCTACATAATTTATTACTAGATATAATAAGGCATGTGATAGTGTCAAATACATAAAATTATATAATGATACTTTATATGCATCGAAACTGTTTTATTAAACTAAAATAAATTTCAGGAACGTTTCCTATTGATACGACTAAAACGAGACTGCAAATTCAAGGGCAGAAGCTGGATAAAAACCATGCTATTCTCAAGTACAGAGGAATGGTAGATTGTTTCCTTAAAATTGCCAAGCAAGAAGGATTCGGGGCTTTGTATTCTGGGTACGTTTGCAGTAATTTTACGAGTAAATAATCAAAACACGTGATTTTTTTAGTTTCAAAAATAAATACAGTTATCGTAGTTGTGTTATCAGCGGTTATTAATTTCTTAACAAACAAATCGAATTTTGATTGTTTTTAACAATAACATGGATTTGCGTTATTTGGATTGTTTAATTATTGTCAGAAGTAGAATATAGTCGTAGTCATATACTATGAAAAACTTAGAAACTAGAGTATTCTTTTAATAAGTACTTTAAAAATAGATACCCAACAGTAGTGGTTATTAAAAGTGTCCTCATTATTTCACCGGTTCATTTGCTGTCTTGAAAAATAATTCTCAATGCCAAAAAAAATGCGCTATTTTAGAAATTCAAGTTACATTAAAATTCACATTAATTATTTCACTTTTTACCTCTGTATTCCAAAGCACTTCTATTATGCTAAATATCTCAAATAAAGCGATTTTTATTCCAGCATTTGGCCAGCAGTATTAAGGCAAGCCACATATGGCACCATCAAATTCGGTACTTACTATACCCTAAAACGAATGTTAGTTGTCTATAATGACGGTAAAGAGAGCATAGCTCTAAATGTTGGCTGTGGTATCGTAGCAGGGGCCGTGTCCAGTGCTATAGCTAATCCAACCGATGTTCTGAAGGTTCGAATGCAAGTTGCTGGAAGTAACGGCAATACGAATATCGGGCTTATAAATTGTTTCAGAGATGTATATACTCATGAAGGTTTATCGGGTTTGTGGAGAGTAAGTAATTTTTTATGATTAATGATGTAATTAGAACATAAATTACTTGTTACCTGCATAGTTTTCAAAGTATTTAAAGCTTGAAATGTCTATGACTAATTTTGCTTGTACTGTATGAAAATCTATGATCATTCTTTGAATTCTATTCGATGTTGTCGATATTAAAATAGAATTTACAAAGTACTTTAATATACTAAAATATGTTAGGAAAAAGCAAAGGAAACTTTATGATTATAAAATACTTTTCGTTTTGTTGCAGGGAGTAAACCCGACTGCTCAAAGAGCAGCAGTCATAGCGGCAATCGAATTGCCTGTATATGACTTTTGTAAGAGTCACTTATTGGATCTTCTCGGTGATAAAGCTGTAAATCATTTTATGTGAGTTTCCATTATTCACTAAATTTTAATAAATTGAATCTTCCGCTTTTCTTGCAGTTCTAGTCTTATTGCTAGCATAGGAAGTGCAATCGGTTCAACGCCCATTGACGTAGTTCGAGTAAGTAATTCAACGATTCGTATTTGCTATTTGCTAAATATTTATTTATTTATTTTCAGACACGTCTTATGAATCAAAGAAAGTTGAAAAAGTGCGGGGGTCCGTTGCCCAGTCACATTTATCACGGTACTGTCGATTGCTTCGTACAAACGTACAGAAACGAAGGATTTTGGGCGTTCTATAAAGGATTTATTCCAACTCTGTTTCGAATGGGTCCTTGGAATATTATATTTTTCTTAACTTATGAACAACTGAAGAATCTCTATTGAAAATTTATTGTTTGAGCACTTTTATCCGTGTTATTAATATATCCGGTATATTGCACCGTTTTTTCCTAATATTACACACCGCTGTTAGAACAATAAATATTTACGAAATTGCGTTACTTATGAGTATCTTTTTACATTTTAATTCCATTAAATTGTAGTAGAAAAACAATTAAATACTAGGCAGAATACTACTCGATTTCTTCTAAACTGGTTTTGGTGACCGCAGGAGATTTGCCACCTCTGTGATTGAATACGTAGAACGATGGAATGTTTCGAAACGTTTCCCACGACTTGTTTTCTAATTCCGCCGAGGCTTTGATTTCTTTGAAGTCCCCGGTTATGTTCAACACCCCGTACATGATTATAAATAGCGCGCCTAATGCTTGGATAAATATCTAAAACAAAAATAGACTATTGTGTGGATGTTTATATCGATTCGAACGGTCTTACATCTAGCGGAAGGTGCGTGAAATCCAAATCGTTCAGTCGGAGATATGACCTATCTGGAAAATAAATAGGATGTTTATAATCGTATATGAATATTTTTACAGTTTCCTTACGTTGGGCAGCTGAATATGCTGCGTGGAATAAAGAAAGAAAGCCAATCGTTAAAATACTTCTATGCACAAATGTTGCAGGCATTTTTATTCATATATTAAATATTAATAGCGAATATTGATATTTCAAAAAATTAGCTGTCACCTCACTACACAACATAACCTCAAAGCTGTCAGAAGTGTCAAATATTTTTTTTTCAGTTCACTGAAGTTAGTTACAAATCGTGCTATAATCGATTAATCGATGAACAGGGTACGTTCCGATTTCATTTTATACAGGGTGCTTCGTTATAAATTATAAAACGGTCGTTTAAAATATTTATTACTTTGAAGACTACAATAAAAATTAAATCGGTAGAAAGGCGTCAATTTAAAATACTCTTATACAATATAATTCTTAGATAATGATTTTTGATGGTACATATTTACATATTCCTATTTCAATTTCATGGAGATTATCACACTTTAGTGGGTACCGCCAATATAGTTTCGTGAATCGACTTCGCTACGTAATAGACATTGCTCGGATTTAATCCAGCCATACTGATCCTTCCTGAGCGCAGCATGTACACGTGATGGTTCCTGATCATACGTTCAACCTGGCTTTCTGAAATAATATCCTTTTATTAGTAATAGAAAAGTACATAAAACTTTCACTTACCAGTCAAACCTGTATACGAAAACATGCCAATATGCTCGGTAAGATGGTTCCATTCTCCGGGGGTTCCCAAATGTTCCAGGGACCGTCTCAACTCTTTCCTCATTTCGATAATCCTCGACGACATGGTTTTAATGTGATCTTGCCTGGAAAACAATTTCAAAACTAATAATAATATACACAGAGTAAATAAAATATTACCATTTTTCATACATAACAGGATCCCGAAGAACGGCCTCCACGATTCTAGCACCGTGCGCGGGAGGATTGGAGTACATTCCTCTTACTATTATAGTCAAATGGGATTTTATAGCTGGTATTACACTCGGATTATTCACGACGACGGTCAAGTTTCCCACACGTTCGTCTGTAAATAAAACAAATAATATTTTCAGCGTATAATATAGACTTGTTTGATAGAAACTACTTACTGTACAGGCCGAAGTTCTTCGCGAAACTCTGCGCGCAGAAGAATTCGAAGCCCAACGAGGCGAACCGGCGTACCGAGTAAGCGTCTTTGGCCACATCACCGGAGGCGAAACCTTGGTAAGCGCAATCGAAAAATGGAAACAGCCTTCTTTCTTTCACCACGTTAGCTATTTGGTCCCATTGTTCCACTGTGGGATCGATTCCTGAAAAGCATTAGAGGCTTTTAGAATTCGTCGTTCATGTAGAAAAAATGAATTGATGAAATACATAGAAGGAATAAAAAATATTTTAGTGACATCCCTGTATCTTCAAGATTAAACTTGAGAATTATATCAGTTATAATCTGGATTTTTGAATGTTTATATAGAGAAAACAATTTGTAACAAATATCACAGCGATAAATTATTATCTTATCGTGAAGTAACCAATATTTTCCACACAACAAGGTTAATTAAACATTCTATATATCTTAACAATTAACAACAAACTATTCGAAACAAATAGTTTCAAAACGGAGATTCTGGGAAATATAATACCTAGATAATTTGACAATAATTTTTATCTATATACTTTTATAGTGTTATTACGAAAATTAAATCACTCTGAATAATTAGATATGCAGGTAAAAAAAACATATGGTTTTAAAAACTAAGTAGAACAAACAAAAATTCAGTTTATCAATAACATTTTGCAATTATGAATTTATCTACTGACGCTAAAACTTCGTCAAAAAAACAAGTATTTGTTTCACAATAATTATCACATTGTAATTACCACATTTAAGTTTAAGTTGGAAATAATTGCTACAAGATCCAAATAACTCTATTATTCGAATGTAATTCGAAGAGTAATATTTAATGAACGAATAATTTACCTGTTGGATTGTGAGCAACAGCGTGCAAGATAATAACAGACCCCGTTGGGGCATTTCTTAAATCTTGAATCATTCCATCGAAGTCCAAAGAACGAGTATTGTTATCCCAGTAACGATATTCCCTGCCTTCCTCGAATCCGGCATTTTTGAACAACAAAATGTGATTCTCTAAAATTGCAATTCAGAATAAAGTACTCGTGTAAAGTGTGTTCAAATTAAATCGTACTCACCCCACGTTGGTTTAGAGTAGTAGAAAATTTTCTTTCCCAAAACCCTGGCTAGAAACTCAGCGCCTACTCTTAGCGAACCAGTTCCGGAAAGGGAGTGAACTCCAAAAGCCTAAATTAGTATATAATTAAATTATTAATATAATAATTACAGCTTGATTGCAAGAGATTTAAATATATATTACATACCCTTTTTTCGATAATCGCAGGTGAATCGACACCGAGCAACAAATTCGTGGCAGCATTAGAGAAAGATTCCAGACCCAAAATCGGCAAATACTCTTTATTCAAAGTTGCATCGTTGACTAATTTTATCGAAGCCTCTTTCACAACGGGCAATAGCCAGGGTTTACCTTCAGCGGTTCTGTATGCTAAAAAAACGAATAGAGCAGGTAAATAAATTCGCAGGATTGGTTATGTAATAGTATTCAAACAAACAGAACTTACCGCCGACGCTCAAGTTTACTTTTTGCTCGAAATTGTCCTCATTGTAGGCCTTAATAAGGGCGAACACCTCCACCGGTGGGCCCAATTCGATTTCGGAAAACCACGACATCGCTTCCGGTTTGTTAATTAAAATGCTTAAAAATTAAATGCAATGTTAGAGGAGGAACTCGATAGCTTCGCTACTAAATATTCCGCTCACATTCGTAATTACTCCAATATAAATGTTTGACCTTTGCGACCTAGAGGGTACAGTTCAGTCATCCTACGAATTTTGTAAATTTGTTGACTCTTATCATACGTGAATTCAGCTACGCGGCCAATTACAATCGAAACAAATTTTTCCAATCGATTGTTGTTGGAGTTTATCTGTCAAGAGTGTCACTGTCACTAATCACTAACGTCAAAGTTGTGGTTGTAAATTTTAAAATACAGCTTGTCCTAATATACAGTGTGTCCATAGAAATTACTATAAATTTTATAAATTTTATAAAATACTACTTACGTGCGACTCATCGTTTCTATTTTGAATTTACACTGCCACAAATAATGTAATAACTCTCTTTTATACAATTTCCTTGTCTTTATTTCATTTTTATAACCGCGTCCTATTGTTCATAAACATCGGTTGTGGTAAAAATATTTTTGAAAATTTGAAGTATACTTTGGATAAGAATGAATCGAGGGTTCATTGTTCTATTGGTTTAAGTTTAATATAAATACATACATGATAAATATATTGTGACTTGTTATGAAACGCCCTGTAAATAATCTAATTTCTATTCAATAATCAATTAACCCATTATCGATTTATTGTAAATTATATCTACACCACTTTAAAAAAATGTTTTTTTTTTTACATTACGACTACGCATGTTTGTTATTTATTTGATTTGAAACGTAAAAGAATAGGTACTTCAGCGATAATATAACCAGGAGATAAAAAAGGGAAACACCTGTGCGAAAATTGTATTTGTTGTTTTTATTCGCTTCTATAAGTACTGCAGTGCATTTCAATTACTCAATTTTCAATTACAATTATCCTAAAAACTTACTAAACATGAAACTCTTATTAGTTTCTGCAGCTGTGGCTTTCTTTGCCCTAACATCGTGCCTTCCCACCGATGAATTGGGTAAGTATTTTCGATTACCTGTTGAATTTATTGAGAATTACATTAAAATTGGTTACTTTTCTAATTCATAAATTCCCACTATTATTCCCAAATTTAATTCCAGAAGAGTATGATTCATACAGGGGTATCATTGGAGACATCATCAACGACACGATTAATAATGCTTTGAAAAACATGTCGGATCCGACAGAGGTAAAAGACATGAATTTGGTTCTGGATAAAATGTAAGAAAGTTTAAAGTTAAAATCCCTAATACATAATTATTTAATTTAGCTATTACTTAACGATTTATTACACAAGTCTGTTACATTTTTTATCAATACATCCAGGTATCTCATGATTAAATTTCCATTATACGCATTGATTGATAAAGCTATCTAAGTACCTACGTTTATATTTATTATTTAATTAAAAATTATGTACACAGATTTATATCTATTACCTGTAATATTATGATAGCACTAAATTAACACTTTCGTATTTTAGGGTTAACGGAAGATTAAACATATCAGGAACGACTATCAGTGGAATCAAAAGCATAGTGGCAAGTGTGATCGATGTAGATATTGGAGCTCAAACCCTCAATATGTCTATTGAAATGACTAAAACATTATCCTTCAAGACAAATTATGACATGGACTTAGTCGTAGCTGATGTGGTTCCTTTATATGGTAAAGGTCCTCTCAGGTAAAGCGAACGCAGATACTAAAAAGGGTCGTTTAGATTTAATTGAAAAAAATTTTTAGCGTTGATTTCACCGGTGCTAAGCTCAGCATATTAGGAAAGCTCGATATTCAGAGTTTGTCGAACATCACAGTCGCAGAAGTCGATGTGCTCTTTTTACTAGACTCCGCTAATGTAAGTTTACATGAACCTGTAATTTCTTAGCATTATTACAAATAATTTTTTTGCAGTTCGATATACAAGGATTACTCAACAATCCAGAATTAAGTATGCTCGTCAACGAAGCACTCAACGATAATTTAGTCAGTTTCATTGATCAGAACAATCATCTTCTTTCTAACATTATCGGGCCTATTATTAAAGATATTATTAACAGCATTTTGCATAAGAAAAAGTGATTTAATAAATTGTGTTAACACCTGCTTAATAAATATATGTAAATTTAATATTACAAAAATAAACTATGCTTGTTATTTCTCATTCTTTCATCGGTGTATGTGTATAGGAAAGTGGTAAAAAAATCGTTAAAATCGCTCGAAATTAAATTCATTTATTACCTAATTATTTAAATTCAGTTAGGAACGGACCAATACGAAACAAGGCTCTATATCAACCTTGCCTTTTTTTTAAATTCTAAGTTCCATTCGGTTCGAGTATCTTATTAGCATCGTTAAAACATAATGAACTAAACATCGAAAGAGGCTGCATTTCCATTTTTAGAGGAAAAAAAAAAACATCTGTGTTGTTCAAGCATTGACCAAAGTTATCAAAGGCGGTCAATGCGAACCGCCGAAACCTTGAATCGCATTAAACTTTAAAGCAAACAATTCCAAATTTTCATCGACCGAAAACAGAAAAAATTTTATTTGCCCAGCACCTTTCTGCAGATGTCCTGGGACTGACTCCTTCTGGATCATTTTTAAGAATTTTGCAAAAAAAATCAAACAAACTGAGGTAGATAAATACATTTTTATAGATTTTTAAAGATGCAAGTACTCTGTATATGGCATCTTATAGTAGATGCTGATCTTATCCAATTACAATTAATTAGGAAATGGTATTATTGGTCAAAAATCAATCCCAGATGTAGGTCTAGGTGACGTGATGTTTTTTATACATGCAACGCGAATAAGTTACCATCATTTTTTATATGGAATATAGATTTGCTATGGTAAACCACTCTTGAGTGACTTGACTTTATATAGACATATTATACGGTTGAAAATGGAAACTGGCTTGCAAATTGTATTAAAAGTGTAGGTGAAGGGCACTAAACGAAAAAATTGTATAGGTAATTATAAGTTTTACAATAGCCGAGATATAAGAGCAGTCCAAAATGAAAAACGAATATACGGGATGGTTCTGGTACTTCAAATAGTAGTGGTTAGTTTTAAGTAGAGTATCTCATGTTAATGAATTAATAAATGATAATAGAAACAAACAAATCAATATCGTAAATATTCCTAATATACCTAAAATATCCTAAGGTATAGCTATTATCATAGCATTGATTCTTCGTCGAAAGTAAGATACATGAACTTTATAAGTATTCGATCAGGTAGTACTTTCCTTTTTCTCGTACAGTCGCTAACAGTTGATCTTGCATAATATCGTCTCAAATTCGGAATTTCTCTTTTTTTATCACCTCTTACCTGTTGCAAAAAACACCTATTATACCTACCTTGTGTAAGAAATTAAGGTTAAGTTGTTTTAAAAAAATATAGGTACCAACAACTAATTTAATCATTACAAAATAACGGTACTTTGCTAATAATTGCTGCGCTATTAGTGTCGTTTTCAAATACAAAAAAATGTTCATTAGTTTACTGCAGTTAAATGGTCAATAATAGATATTATTCTCATTAAAATTCTGAAGTCCAAGAGAACTTTTCAACCATGAACGAGTAAATAAACATTAGGTACTAAACGTGCAGTTTGACTTCTTGGAGATTGTTGCAATAAACTGCTAAACTGTGTGCAGAGCGCTGCTTCCCCTACTATTTCGATTCATGAGCGTCCATTTAATTATTCTATTTTTTCAATAAGTGAAACCCGAGGAATTAAATAGATATTAAATATTTTACGAATTTTTCTAATTTGTTTTTTTTTTGTAAAAATAGATTCGAGAACCAAAAGCAATAGCTGAAACTTCAATAAAAACAAAAGTAAAATTTCGACACGAATTGTTTGCAAAATTTCTCATTCATGAAATTCTACGAAAATGTAAAAAATTCTAAAATCGATCGACATCAATCTCGCTATTTGCTTTTTCATTCGCGCGGTTTTTGAAATTATCTCCTGGTCGTGAATACTCCAGTTTCAAAAGAAAATGTCATTAATTGCCTTTTACTGAAAATCTCAACGAATTTCTCTACGATAAGCTACACTACGATGAATTAAATATGGTTTAAAGTGCAGAGCCAAATAAAAAAATTAAAATTTTATTTAATTGTGTGAATATAGAGAATTTTTATAAATAGTTTCTCTTACATTAGGTAAAATAAACTGCTCCACAAAAGTTAAGGAAGTACGCAAATTTTGCGATTATTTTAAAAGTTACAGACTTTTTGATCACCAAATTTTCAAATATGCGAAATTAAATGTTTTCTCTCATATTTGAGTGGATTTTTTGCCCCTTCCTCTACAACTCACACTAAATTTGGCGATCAAAAAGTCTGTAACTTTTAAAATAATCGCAAAATTTGCGAACTTCCTTAACTTTTGTGGATCAGTATATTTAGTTAACTTTGGAAGGACTATGAATGTTCTATAATTATAACCAGACAGGCATTAATAATAGCATGAATAATGTAAACAACAAAGAGTTTTTTTTTGGTACGATCAGTACCGACATAAAAATCAATTCCTCGTGCCGATGGAGCACCTTGAGAAAACCTCTACGCACGCCCACGTCTACCTCAAAACTTCTTTTCGCTCCCGAACAACATCGTCGATTGCACCGCCCCGCTTACGCAACGCTCGGTACTCGCTTCATTTTCCATTCGGTTCGCGCATGTTTCGCTGAACACACTCTCTGGTTTTTCGACGGTTTTTCTGGCGATCGTTCGCCCGTCGCATTCGAAGGGACAATCGCCCTCAGAGTGAGTTTTCGTGCCGTTTTCAGCGCCCCTTTTCGCCGTCCCATCGGATTTTCGGGGATCGCCCGTCGGCGAGCCGGATTTGGCGCTGTGTCGAGCCGCATGTGGGTATTGAATAATTTATTTGGTGCAAGGTACTTATTTGGTTTGTTTTCCTATTTAAATGTAGCGATTGTTGTTTATCGATTGTGGTTGTTTTATTGCATAATTGCGTTGTAATTGGTGATGTGAGTTATCGATTAGAAACGAAACCCTTTCGCGGATTTTCTCGCGTTTGGGGAAGTGTTGAAAAATATATTTTTTTTTAGTTTATTGGATAAGTCATATCGGCGAATAATTAGAATGTTTTAATCGGAATGAGTAGGTACCTAATTATTATTATTCACGCGTAGAAAACGCGAATAAAAATTTTTGAGTAGGCTTCAGTGTACATATAGAATTAAATCTCTTTTAAAGGTATGTATTATATTTATTCATGAATTCAAATAGCAGGAAATTTCAGGTTTCGGCTGCAAATTATGTATTGTGACAAATTATTTAAAATTATCCATTATAGTACCTACCTATAAATGCAGAAAATATCAAACTTTCGTAATATATCGAAGATATTTCGATGTGATCAAGATGAAATTAAACAGTCAACACTTATTGAATTTAATGTACTAAACATGCAGGAAATGTACATACTATTTAGATAATTTATATACATTTTAATAGGATTCATCGTAACCAAATAGCAGGAAGGAGATAATTTATAATTGATTGCTTTACGGACATTTCTTATTCGATTATTTTATTTGTCATTTTTAAAAATCTTCATATGTTAATTTTATCTTTAAATTTACTGACAATAATGTAGGTATCTCCAAGTTTATCAGATCAAAAAATATAAAAAGATATCAATTAGCGATAAGAACAGTAACCCAATCATTTCAAACTAGAAAGAAGAACATATTTCTACTTACACCCACAAACCTAAAATTTTATAAACACCGCTAGATAACTTAAAAATAATTTCGTATTTTTTACAGTGATGTCATAAGTGCCAAAATTTCGTAATTTTAAAAACATGGAACAGAAGATCTCACACAGCGGGCTGTTGGCCCGTAGTCCCGAAGGCCATGCAGCTAGAGGTATGCAAATCAAGGGAAACGAGGACCTTTGGGTGGAAATACAAGCGAATACATTCAGAAATTGGGTGAACGAGAACCTCCCTCAAGATTTAAGGGTGTCGGATTTGTCCAAGGATCTTTGCACTGGTCAGTACCATATTTCTCTTTAAAATAGCAATCATGCGGTACCGTCGCAGAAAGTTTAAAAAATTACCTTATGAAACTTGAGACTAAATCATAGAAACATAGTACCTACAATTATATCTAATTAGAGGTAATAACTAAGTGTGTTTATGGATGTTTTATGAGGTTAATGAAACACTTGGCAAACCTATAAGTTCTTAATTAAAGTGATCTAGTTTTAATTAACTTTTTCCCAAAATTAGTCTACATACATCATTTCCCTACCTTATAATTACTAGTTTAAAGTACCACTTTGTAAATTTCTACAACTTTTACAGGTGTAAGGCTTTGCTATTTGGTTGAAGCCCTTAGGAAAAAGCCACTGAAACCATCTTGGAATAAGAAGCCAATGAACCAACACCATTACCTCGAAAATGTCACTTGTGCCTTAAATGCCATAGAACAGGATGGGATAAAACTCGTTAATATAGGCAAGTACTCAACGTTTTATTAAAATAACGAAAAACAGCAAATAGCGAAATAACGAGCACACAATTAAAGTTATCATTTCATTAATTTCTACAAATATGGGCAGGTCGCGTGCTGTATAAACATTAGACGGTACGTATCAAAACCTATTTTTAGACAGGAAACCTGGCGTGGGTTTGTTTCTTCGAATCATTTAAATTCCGTAAGATTAAGCAGGTACCATTTCGAGAGACTATCAGTTTTGAACCTATTTGAAAAAAAAAACTGACCCAAATATAAATAAACATTTTATGACGAATAACCATTACGTTTTATAACTACTTCCGTAGAATTCCTTTTAGGAAAAATTCCAACCATCCATAAAAATAATAGAATATTTAAAAACGAAGGTAAATTTCTATAGGTAAATGTGAGCTCATTTTAAAGCGCATATGGTTGTTTTACTTAAGTTTTCTACTATTTTTCTCATTCAACATTGATTTTCTATTCAATGAAACTTTTACTCGCAAGAGATTTCTTGTTATTTGATAAGCTAGATTTTAACATGAATTCCAATTGCCTAAAGCGCTCTTAGTAAATAATCCTTCTATTTATTTCAATAATAATACCCATATGAATTTTATAAATTACTTACTCAATAACATTATATTATGTTATTTATTGATATTCGTAATCGCATTATCAATGCTCTTATATTTGATGCAATCTTTCTATTCAACAAATCCCGAAGATTCTTTCACTTTCGCTCATAAAAACCGGCTAAAAGGGACACAAATCATGATATAAGGATCGATTAAACTATACACTCTCCTGCAGCTAAATCCGTGAGAAACATTCCTGAAACAGAACCATGTGATTTATTTGAGCACCATAATATGTGTGAATATCTTTTATAACGTTAAACGAATATTTGATAACCGGAATAACGGTCGTTTCTTTTACTCGAATTTACGGTAAAAATGGGATATGCTTTAAAAAGCCAAACAATAGGTAAATAATGCTCGTTGCCTGTGAAAAATCGATTTTATTATATGGAGTAACTGTACAGGTCGCACTTACATAACCGCAATGTAAATTAAATAGGTTCTTCAAGCTTAATTACTATACATACAAGTTGACCGATATTGATTTTATTGATTGGGTATATATGAATTAAATGCATTAAATACGAGCTATAAAAAGTAAATAGTTTATAATTAAAACAGTATCTACTAACGTCCTATTTTTAGTAACAGAATTATATCATACGGTTGTTTGAAAGCAAATTTTGTCGCACGTTAATTACACGTAATTGTATAGTACAAAGTACCTGTCGGTACTTATACATAAATTATGGTACCTATTAGTTATTTTAAGTAAATTATTACAGCATTAAAAATTTTAAGAGAAGCATATCTACTGTAATTTTAATTACTGGAATAATGCTGGAGTATATCTTCTGCAGGTAACACAGACATAGTAAACGGCAACTTAAAGTTAATTCTGGGCCTGATATGGTCCCTGATCGTCCACTACCAAATCGGAAGATCGAAATTCCCGCCGAGAAAACTGATGTTAGCTTGGCTGCAAGCCGTTTTACCGGAATGCAAAGTCACCAACCTCACCACAGATTGGAATTCCGGAGTTTTGCTCTCCGCCCTCGTCGACTACTGTCGCCCGGGGCTCTTCCCGCACTGGAGATCATTAGGTAAGAGACCACGACGGCGTATACAGCGCACTTTACCCGCCACTATTTCAGACCGAAGCAACGAGATAGAGAACTGCAGGAGAGCCATGGACATAGCGCAGAAGGAGCTGGGCATCCCGGCGGTCCTGGAGCCGGAGTATTTGGCTTCGCCGTGGCTGGACGAATTGTCCGGCATGACCTACCTGTCTTACTTCATGAAGCCCGGCTCGCCCGGCTTCTACGCCACTTTGAGATGGGTGAACTCCAGGCTGGAGCGGGCGGTGAATAATTTCACGGTGGGTTTTCGTTCGAGCGATTCGTGTGGAATTTTAAGAGTGTTATTTCGTAGACCGATTGGAACGACGGAAGGGTAATCAGCGAGGTGATCAGGTCCTTGGGAGGATCGGCGACGGCGCCGGAGAAGTTGAGGACCGATCCTTCGTATTGGGAAACCAATCAAGCTCAAGCCATCGAAGCTGGAAAAAGGCTAGGTACTTATCTAATTAACAGCGTAGTAATTCGAAATTTCATTGTGATTTTCTCGCCTATTTTCGTGGATTGAAATATTCAATCGCTAAAAAAACATAACAGGTGCCGAGTATTTTTAAAATTCCATTTAAGGTGCTACAGCGTGCTCCTCTCATTAGTATTTTTATGAATAACGCAGGGAATTATTCGAATAATTTAACCTTGATGGCTTACTAATTGTTTGAAGTTAACGATTGTTGAATAATATTGTGGCTATTTCGGATAATTTCAATAAAAATCATTCAGATATAACATTGATTGAGTGATAACAAAAGCAGGATTAATAAGCGCATCGGTACCCTCATAAATTTTTGCGCTTTCTATTAAGCAGTTAATGCATAATATGTAGCAATAATAGTAGATGATATGCGCTTAATTTTTATGCAATTTATGTAAACATGTCGAGATTGAATTTGTCACGGTTACATAAAATAATAGAACTAGAATTTCTTTAAACTCTTTACCAAGGAATATTTGCAGAGAGTACGGAGCTAACTTAATGGTACTAACAAACTCTTTAACAACCGAAATTATTAAATTGTATAATCCACTCATCGCGAGATGACCACCTACAAGTATCTGAAATTGGCGTGTGTTATTTGAAGGTGTGGATCCCGTATTGTCGGCGAAAGACATGGCCGATAGAAACGTGGAGCACTTGGGTGTAATGGCTTACGCAGCTCACTTCCAATGGGTACCTGAACGTCCTCCTCTGCACGATCTGATCAACGTCACGCTGAATTCTACCTCCGGAAGAGTCGGCGAACCGGTAAGACTATTTTATTTGCAGAAGAATCACATCAATTCTTGGGTCTAACACAGTAAAAAATTGCAAAAAAATGGAGAGGGATAAGATAAAAAAAACCTAAACTGTTTCCTAAATTCTGGACGAATCTAGAAAATAATAATCGTTTATTGATAACAACGTTTAAAAAACAAACATCTTACGATCAGATAAAGCCGATTTTTCTTTCACGAATTAACACCACGAATACCTGAATTGATAATCCAAACACGTCCGTTTCCTGCTAGGGGTATCGAATGTTGTCACGCTTTTAGAACTCGCATTATGAAAATAAATATACCTCGAGTCACGCTCGCACGAGAGTACTTTTCATCGCGAACGAACTACGTACTAGAACCATCGAAAATAAGTGTCAAAAAAAACCGCTTAAAGTACAGGTAAAGGTACTCGATTTTTTCGTCGTTATGTTACAAGGACATGTGCAGTGAATACGAACGTAACGTAATTGATATTTGCAGTTCCCACATTAAACTAAGCGAATAAAAACATATATTTAATACTACAGCAAGGTTACATGTTGTGTTAATCTTTCGGTATAAGTAGTAAGTACTTTTAATAATTGTATTAACTTACAGACGTACTATCAAATCACTCTTCTCGACTCATCGCTATCCTACTCGCAACTGTCCACCGAAATCAGAGGACCGGACAACAAACTCTACCTGGGCAACAAGCTGCAAAAGGGCCAAGGCACCTTCCTGCCGTCCAGGGTTGGCATGCACGAGATCGTCGTGAAGTACGAAGGCGAAGAGGTCCAATCGGGCCACTACTTCAGAGTGCTCCCGCCGTTGATCGAAGTCCTCCCGCCCGGCATGGCGCCCTGCGCGCTGGGCTCCATCGTGCAAGTGCTCGTCAACGCTACAGGTAATCTACAGGAAGTCTACGCTCGTAAATTGGTCGTTCATTTCGTTGGTAATTAACACCAGGTGCTCCGAAACGGGAGGACATCCTCGTGACCGCTTACAGCCCGAGCGGAAGGCCCCTCGACTGTCCTCTCACGGTGATCGATGGTACCAACAGCGCTACGTTCAAGCCGGACGAAGCTGGCGAGTGGAGGATTGAAATCACCTATCAGGGAAAACAAATCCAAGTCAGTAATTTGTTTGATTTGTAGTTTCCTATGTAAAATTGTTATCTTCTTGTAGGGAGGTCCGTTTACTTGTCAGGTTTTTGATCCCAACGGGGCATTCGTGTCCAACTTGGAGGGAGCTCTTCCGCTGATCCCCCACGCTATAGAAGTCGATTGTAGAGCTGTAGGAGTACCCGGGGAAGTCATAGCTGATATCGTTCACGACAAAAAATCGGTTCATTGCCACGTGGAGAGATTGGATAGCTTCCATTACAAGATTCATTTTACGCCCAAAGATGCAGGAAAACACAGAGTAAGCATGTTATATCGGTCAGTGAATTATTACATTTAATTTTCGTTAAGGTGTACGTTTATTTCAATGGATACGATGTAAGGGGCTCGCCTTTCATGATGAGAGTGGGTACCCAGAAACGGTCGAAATCCAGCAGCAGTCCCACGAATTATCGAGCCAGTCCAACAAACCGATACAACAGCCCGAGCCCAAACTTCACCAGCCAGTCCAAAAACTCCAACTACACCAGGTAATTTAAATCGATTTTAGCGATGTTTGTTGTTAGTAAATTTATATTTAAGCTATCGACAAAACGCTAGTCCTTTATTGGAGGAAACGCACAACTTCGCGCAGGATTACCACATGAAATCCGTTGCCGAAAAACGGATGACATCCAGCTCACCGATTTACCCCGACAGAAACAGCCCCAGTCTCAACCAGAGAACCCACAGCCCGGTCTACAGGTAAACATTCGCCTTTACCCCATAACACAATCATCGAAAGTTTGTGTAACGCAGGACAGCGAGTCCCAATTACCAACCGCCCAGCCCCAACTACCAATCGCCGAGCCCCAGTTACCGCCCCACCAGCCCCTTACAAGGCCGCGACAGCCCGGACTACATCACCAGCAGGAAGCTGAACGAGAAGCGCTTCGACTTCTCCAACAAGCTGGCGTCGATGCGAGTGGAGGAATCCCGGACGGAATCGCGCAGCCCCAGCTACATGGAGCGCTCGAGCCCCGACGTGGGCTACACCACGTCCACGAGGTACGACAAGCGCGTCACCGAGAACCGCGTCTACTCGAACTCCTCCACTAACGGCATCGACACCACTCCCATCATCAAGGTGTCGTCGATCAACGACCAGTCGTCGGCGGGGCGCCGGGACTCGTGGGACGCCATCGCGAAGACCAGGAACGTCCTGTCGGAGAGGAGCCTGGAGTCGCTGGCCAATCTGACCGAGTCGCAGCTCGACCGGAAGGCGGAGGAGCACTCCAAGTTCATCGTGAAGGAGCACAGCTACAGGAACTACAACGAGAATTACTCGACGAAGTCGAAGTTCGGCGACGGCTTCGGCAGGAGCTCGCCGGTGTACGGCAGGAGCAGGAAGGACGGCGGGGCGCAGGCGGTTAGAGTGCAGACCGTGCCCGACGGGGTGTTGGGGCAGCCGGTGGAATTCGAAAGTGGGTTGATGGATTTTTGATGAATTTAGATGATGTGGGGTTGTAATGTTGCAGTTGATGGTAGCGGAGCTGGTTCTGGTGACTTGGAAATCCTGGTGGAAGGCGGTCGAGTGACTTCTAGCGTGAAAAGTTTGGGAGGGCAGCGGTTTAAGGCGGCTTTCACTCCGCACCAGGCGCTGTCTCATAGGGTGGATATCAAATTTAATGGGGAAACGGTGCCAGGTAAGTTGCATGAGTTTTTTTCGTATATTTGAAGTTTTTGTCAACCAGTTAGTGAATCGTTAAATTTATGGTTGATGGGAAGCTTCAAATTATTAGGTTCGGTGTTAGGTGTAGGTTTGATCGATTTTTTTTGTATGTTGCAATATTGCAGTGTGGGCAAAATGCGGGGAAATTGTGCTTTGTAATATTTTTCGAATATCTGGTTTTAAGGCGAGATGAATTTTCTACAATTTGAAGAAACGTTGCCAGGTTTATTAATATTTCCATTCATCTAGAGATTTTTTAAGTAGGGTATGTAGTGAAAGTTAAATTCCAAATTTAATAAAATTTTTTGATTAACTCTTAATGTACGATAATTGAAGGTTTTTTATTTTCTCTAAAAAATTTGAATTTCTATGTATTTTAAAGATTTTTTGAAAGCTTCAAAACTAACTGAAAATCATTGAAACTCTGACAATATCCACTTGGCAACGTTGATCTAAGAAACATTTCTATTTGTATGAAATTATTATTATTAACATGCAAATCCACAAGAATATTATTTACAAACGCACATATTTTAAAGTGATAGACAGATATTCAAAATACACGGCACAATTCGACTGATCGAAAGTTGCCCATTCAGGTACGAAACATTCCCAATATCATCACAAAGTATTTCCCGATCGACGTCGATCATTCAAAAGTACCTCATACAGTTCGTTGACATCACCGCTGATGTCCCACTAACACCAAAATTCCAAACGACTTTAATCCATCTATCGTCGTTTTATTTATTTACCTCAATCATTTTATTGGGCACTTCGGCTTCGCTTTTTGCTTAAAAAGAAACGAAATGCTGAATCAAACTTTTATGTGCTTACTATTTTATCGAGCACCGCCAGAAGAGCGCTGATGGTACCCACTTACTGCAATAATTTCTATTCGTGACGTGACTGAAAGAAGTAGGATATACACTTTATAGTGTGATTGATTGATAACAATTTTTTTGGTAGTACCGTAATGTATTGTCGTGACAAAAATTATGTATCATTTTATCTTCTTTCTAGAGTAAAATATTATTGTCTAGGAGTACCATAGTCTCCATACCTAGTAGAGTACCTATAGTACCATAGTCTATGGTAACTTAGATTAAGTTGGGGCTCTAAGTTTGTTAATACTAAATTTGTTATTCTGTTGGTTTACAATAAGATGTATGAATAGGATCATTGACAATTGACATTGTTGACTTGACTCCGCGTTGATCGTTCCTCGATCATTCCTACTTCCTTTGGTCACGTATCAAGTCCGTCGGAAAGAAATCATTCGCCGTGGAATGTAAGTACCTCGCCTCTCCCTGCTTGCGTTGCGCCCACCTGTTTCACTCTCTGACCTCCCGCTCGTTCTGCCGTCGTTGTTTACCGCTGGTACTCGGTACCATTGCGTCCGCGACCAATGGTACTGCCTGTCTACCTGCGGCATAGTGGAGTACTAGTCGGAATTCGTGCCGCTCGTCGCGATCGCGTCGATTTTTCGCCGATTTTTTCGCCGTTTTTCTAGTGATATTTGCGTATTGTGTTAGTGGCAGGTAAAAAAATAGCTTCGATTAGAGATATAGAGGATGGATCGCAGCGATTGGAGTGTGCGGGTTATCTGGAGGCGCGGATTATTAGTGTTTTGTTGGCGGGGATTTGCTTATTTTGCTAACGTTCCGGTGAACGTTTACTTTCTAAAATGGGTACAGGATTCTGGTCGAGCCAACGTCTTGTGATTTAAATGGTTTCTCTTCTTATCGAAAACGAATTTCATTCGAGTATTTTCGTAGGAAGGTGTAGAAGCGTGTGGGTTTTTTGGTGGCAATATGAGGTTAAAACCCAAATTATTAACCTATTGTGATAGAAGTAGAATATTTTAATGTTAATCAAGTTTAAATTCTCCTCATTTTTTTCAAATTAACAGGAATTTCGAGTTATTTGCTTCACCTGTTTTCCTAATTAGTTAACATCAGTATTCGATAATTGTACTCATTAAAAAAAAACACAAATATCCAAGCCTAGTACTTGAATTATCAATGAGTGCAAGCTCAGGTAAATACGAGAGTAAATATAGTACGAGTACAAATTAAAACCTGGCAATTCTGTTTTTTTTTACTAAAAGGTATCAAAGAAAATTTCACTAAAAAAATCCACCCTTCAACACCTTTATCGTGACGCTAAACCATAAATATCGTAGACTTGACACAGTAATCCTTTTCTGCGCCATTTAGTAATTCTTGATGATTCTAGAATCTTTCTATAGTACCTAAAATCATTCTATAGTAATCCAGAATCTTCCTATAGCATCTAGAATCATTCTATAGTAATTCAGAATCTTCCTATAGCATCTAGAATTATCCTACAGTACCTAGAATCATTCTATAGTAATCCAGAATCTTTCTATATTATCTAGAATCTTCCTATAGTATCTAGAATATTCCTATAGCATCTAGAATTATCCTAGAGAACCTAGAATCATTCTATAGTAATCCAGAATCTTCCTGTATTACCTACAATCTTCCTAGAATACCTAGAATCTCTCTAGAGTACCTAAGATTCTTTCTATAGTGATTCCGAATCTTCCTATAGTACCTAGAATCATTCTATAGTAATTCAGAATCTTCCTGTAGCATCTAGAATCTTTCTATAGTATCTAGAATCTTCCCATATTATCTAGAATCTTCCCATAGTATCTAGAATCTTCCCATAGTATCTAGAATCTTCCCATAGTATCTAGAATCTTCCTATAGTACATTGAAACTAGAGTACCTAGAAACATCCTGTATTTGGATATATTCGTAGTAAAATTACCACATCGCGTAACCGACTAGAGCTCGTCCCGCCGCCTCCAGATAAACGCAACCCTCCGCTCGCCGCCCGGCCCCTTCTAACTCGACACCTCTTTTCCTCCGGCCCGCAGGCAGCCCTTGGCATGTCAACATCATGTCGAACAACGCCGCCCTATCCGTGCTGGGCGAGGCGACGCGCCTCGTCCCCGCCAACGCCGCCGCCGTCTTCGAGATAATCACCGCCTCGTCGACGCCGCCGACGGAGCTGCGCGTGCACGTGGCGGCGCCGTCCAAGCGGGCGGTGGCGGCGCGCGTGCTGCCCGGCTCGCGGCCCGGCGTGCACAGCGTGGAGTTCGTGCCGACCGAGATCGGTACGCACGTGGTGGAGGTGTCCGTCGACGGGGAGAAGCTGCCCTCCGGACCGCTGTTGGCTAAAGTCTACGACGCCGGGTTGATACAGGTGACCGACGTGGCCGGCGGCGTCGTCGGACAGCCCGTGCAGTTTAGAGGTAAGTGCAGGTTTTTTTTTTTCGCCACTTTGTTACGTTGATATGCGGTAGAATACAATTATTGGAGTGATTTAAATGTGGTTTAGACATGGGCGAATGTTTGTAAGGTCTGGAAACATAGTCGAAAAAGTGTCGCTTTGTTTGAGGATAAAACAAGTTTCCTAAAATGGCCGCTAGGATGCGATGTTGTAAATGACCGCGGTTTTTTGCGTACGAATTATATAGAATTAGAATTAGCTTAATCAAACTAAAAATATTATACAAAATATAAAAGTATACTTAAATCATCGATGATTTTGTTGATTAACATCATAGCTCGCGTATCTTCGGTTAATGTATTTCTCCATTTTCTCCTCGAAGTGTCAAAAAAATAATTTTTGAAGTTTTGACAGCTCGAACTGTCATCTCACAACACAACCGCGATTTATATGTAGCGCGACGCTGATTGGCGGAGATAAGTTGAGAATAAATAAAGTGAAGCTCGTTATAAAGTCTTCATTTTAATCATTTGCGTACGAATGATGATTTTGTTGATTAACATCATAGCTCGCGTATCTTCGGTTAATGTATTTCTCCATTTTCTCCTCGAAGTGTCAAAAAAATAATTTTTGAAGTTTTGACAGCTCGAACTGTCATCTTACAACACAACCGCGATTTATATGTAGCGCGACGCTGATTGGCTGAGATAAGTTGAGAATAAATAAAGTGAAGCTCGTAAAGTCTTCATTTTGATCATTTTACGGGACACATTCTCAAATGCATAAGCATAGGCTGTTTGGAGACCTTAGAAATAAACGGCCGTGGGTTTAGGTGAACAGTTATCCGAAATTTTAATTAATATACATATTCGAAGAAGAATATCGAATTGGCCGCGTTTCTTTATGGCAATTAATTTTTTTTACAAGTTTAATGAGTTTAGGCCACCAAGCATGCAGTCTTAATCTTTGAAAAATACGTTCGACTTTACGCTAAAATTTAATATCCGTCTTTATTTGTGATTTACTCGTGGCCACGTAAGTACTACCTACTTTGTTTCTTTCATTTGGTGGTTCTTATCGTAGGGTAATCAGGATAAATACAATAAATCAGGTTATCTTTGAAAATTCTTTTGTGACAGTTTGTTGCACATTTTTTAATGTATTTTTCATATCAAATTTTTATGTCATAATAAGTAAAAAGTACACCATAGGAGGTTGTGGGTCTTTGAGGTCTAAAATTCGAGAAGAAAATCATTTGATGTATTTTACAAATCACTGGGAATCACCCTGTATAAATAAAAAAAATAGAATAATAGGTATCAACAAAAATGGTTAAAAGAATAACAGTACCTACAACATGTTTATGTTACCGTTAATTGTTAGGATAGTCACGAGTTTCAACTCGAATATTCTATTTTAGGAAAACAAATAGAACTATTTAGGTACAACTCTATATTACTATATTATTTTTAAAACGTATTAATCGCTCCAACAGCCCAAACAACAGCATCTCCCATCAGTTTACTTTTCTCTTTAATTAGCATAAACTACTCTTACTGAAACCAACTTGTAAGTTATCTCAACTCGAACACGACTTTTAAGTAAATCATTTTGTTTGACGAACGCATTTTGCCATGCTCTAGTACATCCAATTATAATCTAGACTTTCCCCGGGAAAATTCAAGGTTAGGCCAATGATTGCTCCGACCTTTCCAATTAACTAAATCAATGGAATTGAACCTCGGTTAGCACAGCTCGAATTTAACGTCAGATAAAATCAGTAGGTGAAAAAAAAACGTTACGAACGAAAACGCAAATATTGTGCTACACGCGGATCTTGCAATGCTGTCAATTTCTTTTTGTTCTTATTGTGTAAATAATCGTGTTGCGTAAGACAATTTATGGTATGTACAATCGGGCTAATTACTGCTGATAATTGCGTTATTTTTTAAACAAATAGGTACAAAACGGAAGTACGTGTGAACTTTCAATCATAGTTCAGGGTTATATGGATGGAATATAAGATATAATATTAGTAGTTTTCTAGAGTATTGTAGTTGTCTCTAGTAACAAAGTGTAGGTGAATATATAATTTTTTCCTAGAGGTGATTCACCGAAAATCTTAACACTTTTTTAAAGTATTAATTTCGTTTATTTGTGGGGTATATCTTACGTCAATAGAAATCCTCACACCAGCCTATTATTAACAATTTCTCTTTCAAAATAAATAGATACCTGTGAGAATTTTTACGTAACGTTATGTACTATTATCATCTGGTGTAGTATACCAAATGTTTCTTAAACAAACAATCATTAAACAACACAACAAAATCACACCAATAATTTTTTTACCTTCGAGATAATATAGAAATCAAAAGTACAAAAACAAACATAACATCAGGAATCATCTTTTTCAGTGGACGCGAGCCAAGCAGGCGAAGGCCAGCTGGAAATCTCCATAAACGAAGGCGAAGTCCCCAATCACGTCCAAGTGGTGGGCGGCGGACGATGCCTCGTCTCGTTCACGCCCGACCAAGTCAAGCCCCATCTCATCGACATCAAATTCAACGGCGAAACCGTCAGGGGCTGCCCGTTCGTCTGTCCCGTGTCGGACACCAGTAGGGTCACCCTGTCCCTCTCCCACCTGGAGCTGGTGCCCGTCAACCAGCCGAGCTCCTTCCACATGGGCGTGGCGGGCGGCGGCGCCGCCGAGCTCGCCGTCGCCGTCCGGGGCCCGGTGGGCGAGCTGCCCGTCAAGGTGACCGGCGACATTCACTCGGGCTTCACCGCCGAATTCACGCCCGTGCAGGTCGGCGCCCACCAGATCAGCGTCGATTACAACGGGCGGCCCGTGCAGGGCACTCCATTCATCGCCAAAGCCTTCGATTCCAACAAGGTGATTATTTGGGCCTGCTGTGGTCGAGAATCGAGCGATTGTTCAGTCGAATCCTGCTTATATCCAGTATAGAGATGACATTCTCTTGTGCAATTATTGATTTCTTCTGAATATGAATTTATTTTCGACAATTTCTGCATCTTGTCCAGATTTACTACTGAATCTTTCACAATCTTTCTTTTAAATTATGTATTTTCTCTCCACCTTCTGCAGCTTTCTGAACCTCCTACATTTTCCAATTCTCCCCAATTTTCTACACTTTCTTCGACAAAAAACTTCCTCAGTAAGCACTCCATACTCTTCAACAATACATCCTTAAGCAGGATGGATCCTGCTTATATTCACTATAGATCCAGTATAGAGATGATTCTCTTGTGCAATTATTGATTTCTTCTGAATATGAATTTATTTTCGACAATTTCTGCATCTTGTCCAGATTTAACACTGAATCTTCCACATTTTTCAATAGTTTTTCGATCTTATCTTATATCTTATTTTCACCTATTTTTATCTGAATCTTCCACATCTTTTACATCTGTATCATCAATACCTTATCAATCTTCTAATGTTTATAATTTTTCTCCACCTTATGCATCTTCTCCAGCTTCAACATCAATTGAATCTTCCACGTTTTTCAATTCCTCCCCATCTTCTACATGGTCTCCCTCGCCAATATCTTACCAATCTTCTCTCCACCTTCTCCATCTTTCCGAACCTCCTACATTCTCCAATTCTCCCCAATTTTCTCAACTTTCTTCGACAAAAACACCCTCAGCACGCCCTCCACAACACCTCCTCAAGCAGGATTCGACCCGGCGTGTACTTTGAACGTTCGAACACCCCACTTTCGTGATACCCCCCATTAAAAACCCCGATGGTTTCACCCAGGTGACGGTGGGCACGGTCGCCAGGGGCACCGTCGGCCGGCCGGTGACCTTCTCCGTGGACGCCTCCGAAGCGGGCGAGGGCAACCTGGAGATCACGATCTCGGCGCGGGGCCTGAACATCCCGACGCAGGTCCATCCGCAGGGCAACGCCCGGTTCGCCGTGAGCTTCGTGCCGGCGGAGGCGTGCGATCACGTCGTCAGCGTGGCGTTCAACAAGCGAGCCGTGATCGGGTGCCCGTTGATCGTGAGCGTGGGCGGCGGCGGAACGGGGCCGAGCGTGGCCCTTCCGGGACCGGGGCCGGTGCACAAGCCGAGCACCCTGCTGATCAACCATCCCGGTCGGCTGGAGGACATCGAGGTCAATGTCGAGGGTGAGAATTGTTTGGTTTTGGTTGTTTAGATGCAATATTTCCTCCGATTCGGGCGTTGCTCTTGTACAAGTTGTTATTAATATTGTTAAACTTATTAATAATCGCTTGTTGGAAGAGTTTTTGCTTGTTGTATTGTGTGTATAACACTGTAATTTGAGAAGTTTTTTTTTAACTTTTTTTTTTGTGTATTATAATGTGATATTGTGTACTCATTGTGTATGAAATATAAGCATGCTTCTTCTTCTATATCGTTTTTTGTTCTATCCTCTTAAGTGTATATCAACTGTGTGCACAACTGTTTTTTTCACATTTTAGGTCACAGACGATACGTCTACTAGACACTTGAGACATTTCTATGTACATACTAACAATTCCTAACCTCCCTATACCCACCCTAGTACGCCTCTGTGTTTAGATAAATTAGCTTTAATGAGTTTATTCAATGCTGGAGTACGTTTGTGCTGAAAATTGTGCCATATACCCATATGGTTATTATGCTAAAATATGTTTATAAAACCCTATGTATTGTAGAGTTTTACGGGATTTTCTATACTTTTTGTGTTTCAATTACCTAACGAATCTCCTACATGAAAGTCCCATAAAAATCAACAATACATGAGTAATACCTGTTGAATTAATTATTGTGACCCAGCAACTAATTTGTTACTTTATATACCTACTTACCTAAGGAATGTCGTTTTTCTATTTTAACAATAATAAAATTGTAAACACTTTATTGTTGACCTTCTATTCGAAACGCAACGATATGATTTGAATGGAATTTTGATCTTATGTAACAAGGAAGGAATGAATTACATTACGAAATTCGTTATGAATTATTCGCAACCAGTTTGCAGGATAATCTGTACTAAACTAAAAGGTTGTCGAAACTTATTTCTTTGTTTGCGAGTTTCCGTTTATTTATTTCAAGCAGTATTTTAGGGTAATTGTTCTTTTTGGGTTAATAATAAAGACAATTGGGTATATTACGAAATAAACGCAGCTTAAAATACCTGAAGAAATACCTAAAGGAGTGTTTTAAAAGCTCATTACAGAGCTGAAATGAGGAGTTGAGAAATAACAAGTCATGTAACAAATTTAGACTATCAATATGAATTGAAGTTTTATTCGAGTTATTTTCATTTAACCACCATATTCCCATAAATATGTAGTGTAACTAACCTTCTTGCTCATGCTAACTTTTCCATTTATTTTCTGCAAATTTTCTTGATATGACTAACATGTACATTCGATTTTGCTAACACTTTATTTAGATGAAATATGAGATAATATTGACCTGCATGCTGCGCCCATTTTTAACGTTTGCATGCTACACGGCCAAAATGTATAGGCGTATATTTCATACAGAATGTTTTATTAATATGTGTAAATTATTTAAAAAAATTAAAATTAATGCATGAATATTTAGCCTAAATTATTTAGATGAAATATTTCTTTTGACCGAGTTACAGGGTGTTTAATTTATTAAAAAATCATCAAACAAGAGTTTCATTAATGAGAGGAAATATTTCGTTTGAGTGATTCAAGTTAAATATTTTTATTTTGAGCCCGATATTCAAATTTTTACACATACTACTCGATATAATTATTTATGCACTCCTTATTTCCCGCTATCGAAAAATCACTTAGTCGTTTTACCGTTCCTTGAATCACTTGAATATACATTTAAAGGTCATCTACTTTTAATTTTGTAACACCCTTAACAGCGTTTCACAATGAGTACACAACATCAACTTTGCATTATAATCGCAATTTAGTTCATTTGCATTTTTCACTGTTAATGGTCGAACTAAACTACGAGGAGTTGGTCGTTGTCGGGTCGATGGATTTTAGAGGTAAATTGTTGAATTCTTTTGCAAAAATTTTACTTCGAAGTCGATCGAATTTTATTTCTAATTAGGATGTAGATCGTGTACTTACTTTGTAAGTATAATTGGCAGTTAAAGAGCGGAATTTAATCGCATTTATTCTACGCTCGCTGAACTGCCGATCAACTTTGCTCATTTTCTTCCATTATTAATTAAACCGGTCGAGATACCCGGCTAATTGTACTAGGCAGAAATTTAATTTTAATAGTCTAGGAATATTCGAGTATTTCGCTACGAATTTGGAATAAACATAAACCAGTGAATCCTAGTCGTTAACATTTTTGCGAACGATCGATTTCATTAAAGACGTTAGAAAAGTGAAAACGAGTTTTCATTACAAAAACGCTCCTTCGCTATACTTTCATTCCATAAAATCCGCCAATTATCTACAACTCAGTTTCCATATGGTTAATTAATTTCGACTTCGTAGCCAGATTGTTAACCATGTGCGCAATATTTAAGCGAATTAAATGCAAAATTAATCGTAATTTGACATACTTTCGCTCGATCTTTTCGATCGAGCACATATTGTAAAAGATTGTTGGCGAATCGAAAGCCTCGAATGAATCATTAAGGAAATATTCCTAAATAATTACGTAAATTGGTAGTAATGAAGAAAGTACATTGTGATTTATCTGCGGTGATAACTTGTAGGCTCAAATCTAATTTCTAATGGAAGTAATTTGTTCGAAAATCGGTATGAATTATTAGAAAAATATTTCTACGAAAAATAACTGCATATTTACCGCAAATGGCTATTGCAAGTAAACGACATTCCTATGCGTAATATTTTATTAACGTCGTTATTTAGTTTATGGAGAAAATGTTGCCATAAAATGGAAATGAGATTTCACAAGTCGCTTCGTTTAACGGAAAACGTCCAATTCCTTATTTAATTTTCTAAACAGTACTATCCAAAAACAACATAAAAATTTAACAACCGACACTACAACTTCCTAGTTAACTTCCTCAAACACAAACCCCTCTTTCCTTCTACAACATCGCCTACTAAATTGACGAAAAAAACCCGACTGAATCAGGCCCCGGAGGTCAAGCGGTACCCACACAAGTACAACCGCTCGGCAACGCTCAATTCCGAGCCGAATTCGTACCCAGAGTAGTCGGAGAGCACCGAGTCAACGTCACAGTCAATGGAATACCCACAGTCGGCAGTCCCTACGCAGCCAAAGTCTACGACGTGCAAGCCATCAAAATCAAAGAAGCCGCCACCGGAATCGTCGGAAAACCCGTCACTTTCCTAGGTAAGCTCCCTCCAACCACCGCCTCGAAGCCTCTAACGCAACCTCACGCTCCAGTGGAGACCAGCCAAGCGGGCCCCGGCAACCTGGAGGTCACCGTAAACGGCGGGCTGGTGCCCACTTCGGCCCAGGCCCAAGGCCCTCACACGTACGCCATCTCGTTCACGCCCCGGGAGGCTATAGTCCATTCCGTCGACCTGCGTTTCAACGGCCAAGATGTACCCGGCAGCCCGTTCAAATGCTCCGTCTCGCCCGCCGCCCGAATCCTCGCCATCGACACCTTGGACAAAGTCTCAGTGGGGAAACCTTGCACGTTCGTGGTGGAGAGCCCCAATCCTCCGGTCGTCGAGATCCTCGGCCCCGCCAGACGAGCTTTAGTCACCAAAGTACGTTTATACTCCACTCTAAGATGGTAAATAACCATCGCCATACATCGTTTCCAGATCAGACCGCAGGAGAACACCGTGGGGAAGTTCGAGGCGAGCTTCACGCCGATAGACGTGGGCGATCACAGCGTGGAGGTGCGCCTGCAGAGCGGCCACATCGACGGCAGCCCGTTCCTCGTCAAGGCGTACGACGCCAATCGGGTGACGGTGACGGACATCACCGACGGCGTCGTCGGCAAGCCGGTGTCGTTCAGCATCAACGCGTCGCAGGCGGGCGCCGGCAATTTGGAGATCATCGTCGCCGTCGGCGGCCGGAACGTGCCCAATTTCGTCCAGAGCGAGGGCAACGCCAGGTTCAAGGTCAATTTCAAGCCCACCGAGGCCGCCACTCACACTCTGAGCGTTAGGTGAGTCCTCCTGGTGGTCTCCTCCTGGATGAAGCGACTCACTCTATATCCTCATCTAGAGATCATCTTCGAGGAATATATGGGTGTTCTGTTTCAGATTTAACGGGCAGCCTGTGCCAGGATCGCCGTTCAACTGTAAAGTTAGCCCGGGTAACACGCAGCCGAGAATTCCGGTGTCTGGAAGCGGAATCGAACTCTCGGCAGTCGGACTACCGGCTGAAATCAAGATAGAAGGAGTCACCGGTAAAGATGCAATCCAAGGAAATTACGTACAAAAATCACCGTTGATTGTTCCAGGAGGAGATCCCCAAGTGGTGGCGACGGCGCCCAACGGTAAATCCCTGCCGACGAAGCTCATCGTCAACGGAGACATCTACATCGCCCGGTTCATTCCGGAGACGGTGGGTCGCCATTCGGTCGCCATACTGATCAACGATCAACACGTCATCGGATCCCCGTTCAGTTGTAACGTGTACGACGTGAATAAGGTCATAGTGACCGGCCTGCCCGGCCGCAAAACCGATCTGATCAGATCCATAAACGAGATGAACCTCAAAGATGTGCAGAGTAAGCGCCGAGATCACTGTTTGTTTGCAGTTTCTTCTGCAATTTTCCGTTATGTTCAGGTCCCGCGGAGGTGGGTAAACCGGTGACGTTCAGCGTGGACGCCGCCCAAGCGGGAGAGGGTACTCTAGAGCTGGTGGTGTCCACCGCGCTCACCACCATCAAAGCGGAGGTGGTGGCCTGCGCTCGGGGCTTGTACGACGTCACTTTCGTCCCTCTGACGGCCGAAGATCACTACGTGAACATCACCTTCAACGACATGACGGTGGGCGGCAGTCCCTTCCATTGCAGCGTGGTGGAATCCACGCGGTACTTCCAGATCGGCAGCACCGCTTACATCGACTTGCCCAGCGACAATCACAGGATCGAAGTCTCGGATCCCAACAAGCATCACGTCAAGTACGTCGTGAACAACTACAAAGGGGAGTTTACTCTGACGCAAACCGGTGAGATTCTGTTAGATGGTAAAAGTACTTTCGAACTGCTAATTTCGCGGTAATTTCAGGTACTTACAGAGTTAATATATTGAAGGATAATGAAGTGGTAGCCACTAGAACCTTCCACGTATTCGATACAACGAAAATAGATGTAATCAACGCTCCGGAAGGTACTTGCCATAGACCTGCAGCAGTCGGTATAAATACCAACCGAGTCGGACCTGGTAAATTAACAGCTGCAGTAAAGGTAATACGATTCTAGCACTGTTGCATCGAAACACTCACGCTATTCTCTCGAAGGTCGGCAACAGAGATGTTTCTCACAGCGTCAGGCAGAGCCAGACCAATCCGAATATGTGGGAAGTGGTGTTCCACCCGGTGCAAGCGGCGCCCCATCGGATCACCCTCTTCTACAACGGCGTGCCGAAATTCGGGGTGCTGGAGATCCCGGTCAAAGGGCCCGGGAACGAGCCCTGGGCCGGCGGATTGGGGCTCTACCAGGCTAAAGTGGGTAAAGTCAACGCCTTCCAGCTGGAGACTCAAGGCCGGTCGGCCAGGGAATTCGACGTGGTGGTTAGCGGTCCCACGGGGTCCGCTTTACCGGTGAGGTGTTATCAAACCAAAACCGGAAAATTACAGGCCGAATTCACCGCTAGAGAAACCGGAGCGCACAAAGTCGAGGTGCTGCATCAAGGCAAACATCTCGTCGGGAGTCCGTTTACTTGCCAAGCTTTTGATCCTGATAACGTTAGGATTACCGATATTCCCACATCACAAGGAAACGTTGGAGATAAAGTTTACTTCAACGGTAAGCTTTCGATAAACTGTTATCGTCTTCTTCAATTAATATTCACTTACTGTTTCAGTATCAACCAAAAACTCCGGTGTAGCTGAGTTGGATGTCCAAGTGACCAATCCAATACATCAAACTTTAACTGTACAGAAAAATACTACAGATGATATCTCACAAGTAAATTATAAACAATCAAGCTTCTAACCTACCTTTAATTTTCGTACAAAATCCGCTTTTTAGATTTCATTCCTGCCGGCTTTAGCGGGACTGTATCAAGTAGCTGTAACGTTCGGAGGCGTTCCGGTCAAAGGCTCGCCTCTGGCTCTCGGAGTAGGGCCCGTCGGACCGACGCCGCCTCCGAGGGCGGTGGGCAGAGGGTTGGAAAGCGGAAGGGTGGGCGAAAAGGCGAGTTTCATCGTAACCAGCGCTCTGCAGCCCAGGGTGTTCGTCGAGTCGGTCGAAGGGAACATCGACGTGCAAATCCAGACCCACAAACCCGGCGAATACCACGTTTCCTACATGCCGAAATGGGTGGGAACGTACGATATTATTATTAGCATTGGGCCTAACGATGTGAGTATACCACTCGCTTTGTTAATACCGTATTTAATGGATAAGGCAACGATATGAGATACGATTAGAAATGATTTATTAGAGCTCAAAACCGTTTTCAGTTGCTCAAAATGTGTTATAATTAAAAAGATATAGCCCTTCGAAATTTCAAATTTTCGACGTAGGTGCGTCATCAACCAATCATAAACCACTCACGTCTTGTTGTATAGTAAATAGTATGAATTTTCGAACGCAGTAACAAAGAATACACAAACGAACAAAAATCAAACTGTCATTTGTCAGATTTTCCGATAAATATAAATACAATGCTTGGTTGAGGTTTTGTTTATCAACAATCTGCCGTCCACATTTTTATAAATATGCCAGTTATAAAAATCATTTGGAATCTGAAATAATAGATACACTGTGCTCCATTTCCGATTGCAACATGGTCATTTCTATGAGTGGAACAAAGAAAGATTATTGAAATGACAGTTGTCAAAGTGAAAAGTTGCAATGACATAAATGTCACTCTTTCCTTTTCCTTTATAAGTGTCTAATGGAAGTTGTCTTTATCGCACCCATGTCCTATATAACCTATGTTGCGATCAAAAATGGAGCAACCTGTATATCAGAAAATCTTTATCGTATATAAATATACAAAAAACGCACATTTTGCGGACTAAAGAAGAGTACTAAGAAATATGGCAACATGGCTAAATGTGACTTTTAATTCCAACGCCCGCTATGATTCGTTTGTATTTGTATTTTTTAGCTTCCGGGCTCGCCGTTTAGACCGAACATAGTAGACCCTTCGTCGGTGCGAATCATCGGAGGCTGGAATCAATATTTAGACGATTCCGGCCGCATTAAACTCCCCGCCAAGCTAGCATTCGACACCTCCAACGCCGGACCCGGCACCATGGAATGCAAAGTATCCGGCAGGAGAATCAACCCGGACAAAAACAACTTCAGAATCAGATTCGACCTGTCGGGCGAAGGTTTAAGCCCCGGCGAGCACGACTTCGACATCAAATACGGCAATTTCCCGCTACCCGAATCTCCGAACACGATCCTCTGCCAAGGGGATCAAGTGGTTCTAACCGGCAGGGGATTAGCGCACGCGCAATGCGGCGAACCCGCCGTCTTCACCATCGACGGTTCCAAAGCCAGCATCGGTAATTAACCCACCGAACACCACCGAACTCGGTTACTTACAGGATTCTTACAGGCAACCCCGAAGTAACTCTACACGCAGCCGACACCAACATCCCAATCCCCGTCATGATCAGCCTGGCCGGCGACAAAATCTGGAAAGCCGCCTACACGGTGAACGTGCCCGGCAACTACCTGCTCTCCGTCCTCTGGGCCGGCAGGCCCGTCAAGGGCTGCCCCCTGTTCGTCGAGGCCAAGGGCGGCGCCGACGCCTCCAAGGTGCTGTGCTCCGGCGAGGGGCTGCGCCAGGGCGTGGTCGGCCGCGAGATTCGCTCGTGGATCGACACGCGGCGGGCCGGGCCCGGCGAGCTGACCGCCCATTGCGCCGGCCCCAGGAAGGTGGCCTACTGCGAGTTGTACGATCACGGCGACGCCACGTTCACTCTCAACGTCAAGCCCCAGGAGTCCGGCAAGCACGCGCTTACTATCAAGTACGCCGGCCAGCACGTGCCCGGCTCTCCCTACACCCTTAGGGTGGCCGGCGCGCCGGACCCGTCGAAGGTAAGGTCCGATTAGAGTACTGATAATGGGAGGTTTTGAATACTGGTGAATTGTTGATGTAGAAGGTACAGAATCTTCAAAAATGATTGATTCCCACGTGACCGAATTCGAAATGAACGTAGTAAATTTGTTATGTTTATGTTGGTACCCAACTACCCAAAAAATAATTTACTAGAATACTGTCATTAATGTCAACGTCAACTCGATGAAATCTCGGTAGAAATAACGTCTTTTGTTTATTATTCCTCGTTTATCCTGTGCTTTTCCCGAAGAAAACTGTGTAGTAACATAACCTGTGTTGATTTGTACTCAAAATAGGGACTTATGTTGAAAATATTAACAACAATGAACTTTGGGTTGCATAAATTTTTAGTTCGCGTGGGAATCAATCATTTATGAAGACTCTGCATAAATATTTTTTATTGCAATTAGGTTCGAGTGTACGGTCCTGGAGTCGAGCACGGAGTCCTGGCGACGTTCCAATCGAGGTTCATTTGCGATACACGAGGAGCGGGCGCCGGGCAGTTGACGGTTAGAGTAAGAGGCCCCAAAGGCGCGTTTAGAGTGGAAATGCAACGGGAAAGCCAAAAAGACAGAACGATATTGTGCAAGGTGAGTTTGTGTTTGATTTTTTTTTTGGAAATATGTTTGATTGTGTTGTAATATTTGTTTCAGTACGATCCGACTGAACCTGGAGATTACAGGGTGGAGGTGAAATGGGCCGGAGAGCTGGTGCCCGGTTCGCCTTTCCACGTCATGATTTTCGATACACAAGAAGAACTGAAGCGGTATATCAATTCGTTGTGAAACTGAGCATTGTATTACTACATATTTAACTTCCGGAATTACTTTATTGTATTGATTACTTCGTTATCTGAAACATCGTCCAACCCGGTGGAAGATCCGAGAAGTTTTCTCACGACAATCCGATATGATTTACTATTTATTACAAACAGGAATTGGATGATATAAATATGTTTAGATCTTAGGTTATACTAATATTTAACATTGATTTTTTTTAAATATATTTTTATAATTGCTATTTACTCAATTTTAATAAATTGTTACAAAAATTTTCTTGAGTTTACAACACATCATTGATAACAGATCTCATGAAAGAAGAAATTCCAAAACCTCCTGCATCCTTTAATCCTACAATTTTTTGTAGCATGTATGATTCAATTGCAACTTTATAGTTTCTAGGAATTCTCAATTCTTTGTGAATCATCCTATAGATTACAATAAAATAAAAAATTTTCGTTTTCACCCAGAATTGTCCACCAACAAAGCTCTTGCAATATTAGCACCTGTCCAGCATAATAGTTGCTCTAGCATTTAATAGCACTACAATTTAGTACATCATTTAGCTTGACCCGTTTCATTTCAAACAACAATTTAAAAAAAATCCAGCGAGTTGGGGACCGCTCTCTAACAGCCGCCCGATGGAAAAATCCATAAATCAGCTAGCAGCTCTCGAAGTGTGCTGAATATACAATAAGCAAATAAGTGAATAAGTAAAGTATGAAGGTACGGAGGCGATTCCGATCGCATCGGACACAATCAAGCGTTTCTAGCACGGCCGTGTATTATTTAGTAGGTCTGGAAACTCTGACTATTTTGTATTACATGTAAATGTTGCGCTTATTGTGACTTTGGTTCGAAGGTTCACGAAAAATCCGCTAGGAACGCTAGTGTCGGGTAGGCTTCTCAATACACTTCGGTACGATAAACAAATATTGATTTATCGTATTTAGAAGGCAAAATAGTGGAATGAAGAAAAATTGGCGTTACAAATATACGATTAAACAACACTACCCATAGAACAAACATAAATCCGACACTACCCGATACTAGCGCCATCTGTCGAGAGTCACATCATCCACAAGACATTTTCAACATAAATATTGCAAGACCTATTGTTATTATACGACCGTGGTCTCTGGTCCCGGGCACCGGCATCATCGCGGAGGGCTCCTGGAGGCGGTAAGGCGGTTATGGTCGGCGCGGAAGTCGGACTCGCATCCGCAGAGTGGGTCACTGGGTCGCGCCGCCTTGCAGATGTTAACCAAACCGACACAACTCGAACAGAAAATATTTCATCGTGTTTATATTACCGTATGCGATGCTGAAGGTGTTGTTTGAACTACGAATTTATAGATAATGTTTGTTAATTTTTAAGTGTGTTAATGATTCTTATTCGGAATATGAAAATGCGCCGCGATTAGGATGGTTGTATAGTAAACAAGTAGTTTTACTTTCTTGTGGAGTATAAATTAAAAACGAAATTTCTTATACCTTAGGCCGACCGCTCACGGAGCAACTGTTTTTAAATACAAATTGTAAACCAGTTGATCTTGCAACTATTTTGCAACCTCGGCTATGTACAGTAGTATGGAACCGCACACAAGTCGATTCAAATGAAACTATTTTGCAATTAGTCATAAACCCGTTGTACCTGACCATTTCCCGCAGTCGCAGTCGCTTTGCAGTTTCGAGTTGCATTAAATTCTTGCCAATTTCTGGTGTGATTCATTCGACATTCGATAAATTACTATGCCAACTGATTGAAACTATTTTATAATAGTCGCATCCGTGTGCGTACAGAAGTTTAATATTAGTTGTAAACTGGTTACAGACTAAACTAGATTGAAATCTTTATTTCAAAACCGTTGGTCTGTGAGCGGTGGGCCTAAGTAACAAATTCTGGAGTTAATAAATACTCTTTCTGATCTATTTTTTTTGTCCAATTTTACAAACCCATTGTACGAAACTACACTCTGTACTAGTCGAGTACATTTTCACTCTCTCTCGAATAATTTTAGACGTTGCGTTATGGCCTATTTACCGCGATTTTTACATCGTAAAACCGCCCATAGTTTTTTTTGTGTTTTTTTTTCATCGGATTGCGCCCAATTACATGGCATAAGACCTCGAAAATCAAGTGTCCTTGAAGCGTTGCTCTTGAAAACCGAAGAATATCGCCGATAGTCGGGAGAACAAAATTCACGAAAAAAAATAGCATATTACAAAAGAAGTTTTTATTCCCGATCCTAGGCGAAGTACTTGCATACACGAATATGGAAGAGGAATTAGAGATGGAGATTTGTGATGTGGTAAAAGAAGATCTTTTACCTAAGATTCCTAGACCAATTTTCAATTTATCAGAAGAGCTCTATGAACCTCTAAATTCCCTTAAAGATTAACTAGTGTTTTCTACGGATAATCGTAACTCAATGGATGTTCTTTCGAGTGCTTAAAGAGAATTTATAAACGAATAAATTACAATTTAGGTAAGTTACCGGACTAATGCGGATGGTCCTACTCGAGTGTTGAGGCCATGGCGAAGTAGGCCAAACCGTGAGTCACTCCAAAAATCGTTTTGTTTGACAAATTTTTATCCAATTAAAATAATCCAACTACACGTGATATTTCATTTAATTATTACGTATGTACCTAACTATTCAAAAGTTATTCCTCTCGGAAATCGTTTACTCGTTCTGCCTACTTTTAATCGTTAACAGGATATTTCGCAAGAACCCACTTCGTATTCTGCACTCGAGAATTTTCCAGTGCGTTCGTAAAATTATTATTCCGACAGACCAATTACCGACGTTTTCGTCGCGAAAAGAGCGCGACATCGCTAATTGAAAATATTGAGTAACAATTCGAAACATCCCAATATGGGAACAATTTTGATTTCGACACGCCGAAGGTTAATGCACCGTTCGTTTGAGTCTGTAGTAAAATATATTGTAACATTGACATTTTGAAATTTCTCTATAAAACGCTCATTCATTAATCTCAAGGCTTTTTCTGTTTACGTAGAAGCTCGTACCGTAGGTAAAGGTTCTCATTGCGACATTTAAACGAGTAGGTTCAACTGCATTTAAATATGTATCAACCTCTGGTTATATTAAACTAATTTAATTTGTTTCTATTAAAGCGATCCATTGCCTCGCTAACCTCTAACATTACAGTTCAAGTAGCTACAAGAATAACTAAATAATATTTGTAATTAGGCGGCCGGCAATCTGCGGTAAGTACCTAAAAATCTAAAAAAAACGGTAGTTATCTACAGTCTGTCTGACCTAGATAAATCCAGGCGGAACCATGGTCTAAGCTAAGGTCTATTATCCGCAACCCTTCATCAAGATATTATCCACGCCCTTTTATTTACCGCTAAGTATACCGTTCGATCTCCTATAAAAACCATTTTCCTAAATCGTTTTATTATATTCGACTTTATACACGAAAAAGGATCGGCGACAGTGCAGTGGAGACACACATATTTTTTTTATTTTATTTTAATCCAGTTTACATAACCGTATTATTTATTACAACTTATTTGTAGAGATTTAAAATAGTTTATTTAACCTCAGTTAACATAGAAAATATTGTAAAAAAGCGTTGTTTCTGTTAAATTCCCGTAGGTACTTCCCTGGTTCGCTTGACATATGTCTAACGAGTGGAAGTACCACAAAAGGGTTAGGTAACATTAAAGTACCTGCAGATGAGACAATGTGGTTTTAGTGCAAAGAAATTTTAATATCGGGTAGCTAATGGATTGACAAGAATATCAATTTTACTATACACAATACTCGTTATTTTAGCTGGAAAAAAGTGGCTGTAACACAATCAAAAATTACTTTTGTATGCATTTCAGTGGTCGAACTAACAAGCTACAATTTAAATCTTAATCTGAAACAATTACATCAACATTTTTTTTTGTTGTTGCAATCGAATATACGGTAGCTAATTAATATGTTTATAAGCAGTTATCGGCCGGTTATTATCAAGAAATGGAGGAATTGCATAAGGATACGAAATTAAGTAATGTTGTAGCCGTTCGGTACAGCGTAACGGACTAAAAACACATTACTAGCACTGCCCAAACTAATCGCTAATAAATTCTTCGTTTCTGGTTTTTAATTAACACCCAATTACTGTTGTTCAGTAATTGGCCGGCGTATATGCAATAATTTTTATTGAGGACGCGGTATGAATTATACACTTTGTGTTATATGTTTAAAATCGGATATATTCTACACACTATCTATTCTTTTAATACTCGACAAGTCCTCTTATATTCCCTTTAAACTTTCTTCTCTATGAATGAACTTGACACTCGCGAATATTTAAAAAGTATTTTTTTAAATCGTGTATTATTAATGCTATTGTATAGCTAAATAAACAGCGAATGAGCATTGTGATCACGTTGTAGAAGAGCATGATAACGTTATACATAAAAATTAGCGTGTGCGTGAGTTTTTAAATAGGGTAATTGTTTTTAGTGTGCTTTCTCTTTCTGCGCCTAATTTAGGTTGGGGCATGTCGTTGGATAGTAAGTAATAGATATTTTATATGCTACAGTTAATTTCAAAGAAATAGGTATGTTAACCTCTACGAAGCATTTTAAAAAACTCGAAAATCTACAATAAATCCCTTATGCTAAATTTCGAGTTTACTATAAAACAGTTATAATAGAGAAATTGGTTATAAAATGGCACTCAAAGTAGCTAATTGAGTTTCCATTATATCATATTTGATTGAATAAAAAACACACTAACAAGTCCTTAAGAACCATTAGAATAAATTTAAGCGTCGCTTAAGCAAAAAAAGAAATTTTAGCCACATAATTCAGAGATCGGAGATACGAATTAATACCGTTTAGAAGGCTATACAGAGACAATCTGTCGCTGGTTTTAATAAAAATTTACTATTTCCGGATGTATGTCAACCGGATATTGTTGTCTTGTCCGCCGATGACCATATTTGAATCCATGAAAGTGACTAAAATCGCCGCAAACGCTCGAGAACATAACTTATTTCATAAAACGCACCTGTGCCTCGTTCGCCTTATCTAAAGTAGAGAGAATGATGTACGTAACATTTAAATTATAAAATCCTTATTACTGCCGTTTCATAAATGGAGTACGATATTTTTCTCTCGTCTATAATACGCATATCGCGTATGTAAAAACCGCCGTTCAAATAAGAATAAGAAAAAACTGGTTTTTATGGAGCAGTCCGATGCGGTTCTGTTGCTTAGATGAAGCAATTAGCGAAGTGTCACAAATAAGTAAAACTTCTCTTTTTCTTCTTATTGAATTCTCTAATGATCGTACGTTACTTATTTATTGTAAGGATAGGTAATAATGGATCTTAAAGATGCATTTTAAAGGGTTTTTCTATTTGTTGTAAATTCTTATTTAGTTTTGAATTTGCCGCGATAATTTGTGACATTAATGAACCAATGTGAAGTTGGGAACAGAGAGAAGAATACCGGCGACTTGGGAAAAGTAGGGTTAAGAGTGGTTAAGTAGAATTTTATATTTTCCGTTATGAGTAAAGAGTTCAAAGTTATTTAGTGTCTTTATTATATTCTAAGAAGAATATTAGCTGATTTTACCCCATATTGAAACAATTATACTAAAGCAGCAACGATTACTCTATTTGACATCACATTGACAGAATTTTTGACCTACTTGTTTGATGTACCCTGTATAGGTTTCTTAAACAAAAGTTAATAAACTCGTCGAGACTTCCTAGGTAGGTATTTCGAGGTGAAAGAACTATTCACTGTAATACACGGCCTTACAAGGCCGAAGAACTTCCGAAGTTACAACAACATCGTCAGGTATGTATTTCTTAATCAGCGGTTTCGTAGAGGATAATTGGAAGAAATATTATATATTGCGCTTGCAATTTCAATCTAAGTCCTGCTACTGCATTCTGTATTTACAGGGTGGCCCAAAACTAGTAAACTATAGTAGAATTTGTATAATTTTAGTAACTAAAGAAAACATTTTCGAAGAGTAATAAATAAGTAGACCTCCATATATCACTAAACAATTGTTCGAACGTAACATTATTTAGCCTGACAAACAGTTACATGAAATAAATTCACCGGGCGTGAGATTTTTTTAATACCGACCGAAATTAAATTCATTCTCGATTTGCACATTTTAATTGGTTTATGTATTTTAATGAGTTACCTCCTTTTCGTCGATTCCGAATCGCGTTATTCGGCTTGCGACTCTACCTAATATTAATTAGATATCCGCCGTAATGATCAGCAAAGAGAGAAATTCCCCGTTAATTACAATATCTAAAATGTTAATTTAATATCGCTTAAGCACCTCACATTCTGCCTGATTTTATACCCATACGAGCGATTCTATGAGTATGTATGTCGCTCGCTAATGCAGTTTCTAACAGTTTTTGTTTGGTACATACGAAACGCGAATTCGAATTATGAATTATGAATTGGGAATAAATCGAGAGACACGGATCGATTGAGGAACTAGGTACATGCAAGAATTTACCGTTTCCATTCCATCCTATAATTTTTTGTCCTTAATATTGTAAAGTTAACTACTCGAATGTATCGGAGTTTCCTAGAACCACCCCGCTCATATCTTCCAATGTATAAATCCGAACTTGACTAATTGAACGCAATTAAGTCGTAAACCCATAAACCTCAGTGAATCTGATTCGGACTTTTGTGGCGGCGGGTTGAGAGCCCCCTTCAGTTACCTGTGGATTTTTTCCGGTGAATGTGCACCAGTTACAGTTACCCCCCGTCGTTAGTGCGGTAACAAAAACCATTCCGCCATCGGATCCGTCCACCGTGGAAAATCGTGAATGCCTTTACCTGTTGCGAGGCTCGTTCGACAAGTGCAGTAAATCGTTGTTTGGTGTTTTTGATGCGGCGTGTCGGGTGTTTGCGAGACCGGTAGCTAAATCGATTTTACACGTTTTTTTCGCCAGTTGTCGTAATTTTTTTGGTATTGCATCAAAAGACTGAATACGAGAGAATGTTTATTAGAATTTGTTGATAAGTGGTCGTGGAATTTCATCGCTGGTTCGTACTTTAAAATCCATATTGGGCATCAGTATGTTCGATGGTAGATTTTCTTTTTCGTCAACGTATAACCAGTTACTGGAATAAACAATATAAGAAAATTGGTGAATAAAATTTTCGATTCCTCAACATACCCTACATCACCAGGCGATACATCCAACTCGACCAATCTTAACAGCTCTCCGTTTCTAACACCATCTTCAGCAACTTCTACAATATCCCCATCGCCTTCTCTCTGCAGTACAGCGTTAATCACAGCCGAACTGGACGATGCCGATACAACAGCATGCGATTTAATTGAGGAAATCTTCACGAACTTATCCTCGTCTTTCTTCGCTGTATTCCTGTTCACCAACCTAGACTTGAAGTCTAATTTATCGTTAATACCAATCCCTTCGACCCTATGCACGACCCCGGTCGAGTATATCACGTTAGGAACGTTGAATTTGTTGGAAACTTGCTCATTATAATTATGATATAAATTGTAGTTAGGAGCGTCTTGTTGGTGGTAGATCGGTTTTTTCGTGGTGTAAACTTGCTCGTAGAGAAAATGATCGGTGATGGGCTTGTAGGGTTTGTTCGAGCTGCTGCTGAACGGTTTGTCTTCGAACACGATTTCGTCGTAGTCGCTGGAACCCGCTGGTCGGTAAATCGGAGTGTCGTAAACTTCAGCAGTAGGTCGATTCATCATTTGCGTGGGCCGATAATAATCGTAAGGATTGTTGTAATCGATGTGACCAGTAGGCCTGTTGTTCGGAAACTGGGGCTTCGCGTTAGTTTGAATTACTATCGGGTAATTAGCGGAATTGTCTTCTTGGTAGTTCATTGCGTTTGGTGGTATTTTCTGTGTAGCATCGCTGGAAGCCGGCCGATTGGTTTTCGTCGGGAAGTATTGTATTTTTATGTTGACTTCTAAAGGGCTGTGATTATCGTGGTTAATATTGTTTTTTATTGCATCTTGCGGTTTGTTAGTAGTGCGCACTACGTTCGGTTTCTTCTTGCGACGATATTTTAGTTTGGTCAGTCGCTTTCTGTTACCGGAAGAATCATCCAGAGGATCAACAGCTTGCCTCGAAATCGCCCTGTTTTTTATCGCGTTTAAATCAGTTTCAATCCAAGCGGTCAAGTCCAAATTCCTCAACACTCTATCATTACAAGAAACTCTCCTATTACCACCATCATCGGATTTTATAAACGCAAACGGCTGTATCGTCTGAATCTCATCCATTGTGTGGCACAACACCGAAGAAAACGTGATTTTCCTTATCTGCTGTAGCTGAGCGGGAGTGAATGAAGATGATGGATCCGCATTTTCGTACCAAAACCTTTAAAGCAACTTATCTAACAAACTGAACCGATTCCCTGGGCACTTCTTACCTATCGCCTCTTCTAAGATTACTAAACTGCTGCGCTATAATGCAAGCAAAAGTCGGCCCAACAACAGCACCTCTAATAGGCTTCTCGGCCAAACCACCACTGAACAAATCAATATCATCCACGTGCCGATACACCTTCCTAAACCGCCTCAAAGTATCCAAATTGAACACCTTACACAAAATTGTACATTATCAACTCCGCATTGAACAATCTCGATAACTCACCTTCTCCAAATCCTTCCAGTTTCTCAGCGGAGCCAATCCGCAGGGCTCCCTCCAGGCTGAGTACGCTGGAATGCCGTGGTCTCTGCCGCGCTGGATGTTGATAGCGATCAGATCCAGCCCGAAGCTCCAGATGTTCTCCGGATTGGCGAGTTCATCGTGAAGGGACACATCTGGAAGCGAGTGGTTAACAATTTTCGGATTCTAGGTGTATTATTAAGTTCTTACTGTTGAAGATTAGTCGGTGTTTGTGGTCGGTTCTGATGAAAGAGTTCTGGACCATGCTGTGCCCGAATCTGTAGGCAGCCGAGCTGAATGCGTTAGCAATTGTAGGATCGATGGTGGAGTTGTAGCCTTTGTAATAACCCTTCGGTAGTAACTCTAAGTCGAATAATCGGATAACATCGGGGCCGAGTAAAATAGGCAGAAATTCCCTGTATGTCACGTGCTGGATCAGCGAATAAACGATTTTTCGGGTTTCCTGGAAGATCTGAAACGACTGGTTTACGATAATAATTCGCACAAATCGAAATGTGATCACCTTTTCATCGCTCCAATGGAGATTCAATCTAGCAAGATCGCTGGAGATTCGATTGTGATACCTCACCCAGACAATATGCAATGAGGTAAGACCAGGTTGCTCGGCCAATCTACCATCACCAGGTTGCAAACAATCCACAGTCAAAGCTCCAGCTTTACACAGCTCGCCTCCCGGTGGATCTGGAGGCATCAGCTCACCACCACGACGGAGCCTTCCGTAAATAATGTTCCCTTCAAACGAATTACTCGAGTGATTGTTGAATTAATCGTGAAGAAGTTACCATTTCTGAACGTTCTGATCGCCTCCGCGGTCTCCGCGTCGCTTCCGTAAATCATCGAGGCGTCTAGGAATGAAGTTACCTGGTTGATTTGCTCTCTCCAGCCCAAATGGCAATTGAAGTTCGCGGTGGGAGCGCTTCGCGTGAATTCCATGCAGCGAACGCCGGATTTTTCGAAAAACCGATCGTTCTCCGGCACTTCAATCGGCAGGCAAGCCGGATGCTGGAAATGTCCAACTTAAACCGTCGACGAATCGGATCTGTATATAAATATTTACTGATAGTTCTTCGGGCAGCGCTCGCCTTCCGATTAAATCGCAACACCTGGGCACCGTTCCATTGAAACCTCTCGTTTTGACTACCGACGTGACGTCGTGATCGATAAATTGACCCCATTGCATAAACATGAGCGTCACCGCGTGGAGCTCTTGGTCTTTATCTCGATGGATTTTTGCGCTAATTTCTCGCGCCGATGGTAGTTTGGAGTGGCCTGCGGATTTCCTGATGCTTTGAATGCCTGGTGAGTGTATAGTAATGAGTGCTGGTTGGTATTGTTGTTAAGTTTAATTGATTACCGTCGTCGTATGCGGCTGGTAGGAACCGCTGCATCGGTAGTACCGCGGAGCCCATCCGAGGGTGCTTTAGGTTGTTGCAAGTACCGTCGTAGGTCCGGTAGCTTTTCGAGGATAGCGAGCAGCGGGGGCGATGATTTTTCAGCGGGCAGTTGTTGGTTAGTGTTCTGGATTGTATGGAGTTTGGGAAATTTGGAATTCGGCGGCTTGCGATTTCTGGATAGCTAGAATTTTTTTGGAGGTTAATTTTAGTAGGGGATTGTTAATGAAATTACCTTTCAATCAGTTTTTTTGTTGCTTCTAAAGTAGCTAGGCCGAAATGCGTTAGTTTTAGGGATCTGGCGTTTGGTTTGCCAAATTCAGCGAGTTTGCTTCCTGGATGTTTTTGATTCAAAAATAAGCCTAAAAATAATTATGGAAATAATTTGTATATCTTTGCTATTAGATGAATCATTACCCATTTTGTACCACATTGGCTCTTTTATTAAAATAAGTTCTTCTACCTTATTAAAAGCAGTTTTAACGATTTCATCAATGTTAGCATCGGAATAATTTCGATTTATCGATTGCTCTATACTCATTGATTTACTAGCCAAAAATTGACCAAGAAAAAGCATTAACAACAAATGTCTGCAAAAAAATCGTACATCAACCATATCTATTAAATTATTGAAATAATTATAACACTAAAAATTTAAAAGAATTCTTCCAAACTTACTTCATATTTATAAAACCACTGTATCGTAACCAGCACAACAACTTAACTCACATACGAATTGTTCATTCTCGAATGCGTACCAAGATCTAAATCAGCTCCGAGAGGATTTCAAAATTAATTGTAGAGAACAGTTACAAATCTAAGAAGAGGCCCGAGGGTACTTTGTCATCAACTTTTTTTTGGCAATTTGTACGCAGGAAAGGTAGATAAAAACTGATGCAAAATTGCTACGGAGTACTGGCCTGTCAGAAAAATTTATCATCAGCGTCGTACGTTTAATATGCGACAATTAGAAAAAGGGTTTAATCGAAAATTCTCCTATTTTTATATTCATTAGGTATCTACACATATTGCTCATTTAATTTTTTATTGCATTCTTTTATTTAGGTATCTGTGCATCAATTCTTAGTGATATCCAATCTAAATTTTATTAATTTTCGATGCACTAAACGTGTAACTTTGGTTTGTAAGTTGTGTTCCTGATCGTAAGAAACTCCAGCATGCGCTACTGGTCGTGTACCAGACAGTTATGTGGCCCCTGTAACGAGTTTCAGTTTTATTGCTTTTGATTTCAACACTTGAATAACTATAATCAACATAGCGCTTAATTTTTTGGTAATTTTACGGCCCTCATTAGTAAATAATAGCCGGCTATTTGAAGACAGTTTATAAATTTTTTCTATCGATGGATACCTACCCATAAACAAGCCAGAATATCAAATTGATAAGACTTTATCACAAAGTATAAATGAATATTAATAGCCTGTAAACAGTAAAATTAATTGCGCAAAAATCACCGAGCGCAAGAATTTCGAACAGTTCAAAATTAATTCGCTCGAGTTATCTGAACCGTTTTCCTAACAGTTCATTTACATGCTCGCTATTATCTATATTGGGCTAAGTTAAATTAGTTGTCAAGTTAAGTGGAAATCACTGCTTGAAGGCTCGGATGTTCCACATTAATTTGAAAAAAAAAAAAGAGCGAGCGACTCGACAAGTTTTTCACAATTTCTTCGCAACCGCACGTAGATACAACTATAGGTAAACAAGTCTGGTGGTGATAAATAAAAAAATTATTTTCGGTTAGCCGCCGGGATTTTTTAAATGACACCTTTATGCAGCTCTGTACCTGTCAATACAATTCGGTTTACGGGGCGAATTGGAATCCCCCAGGTTTATTTATGGTCTTTTAATAATGACAGGTAGGATGCATCTTTCAATTCTAGGTCGCTACCATAAAACCGAAATGTCAAAACACAATGGTACCGGTTTTTTTCTCGGTTGTACTTCTCAGGAATGCGCGTCGCCAATCCAACGTCACAGGTTAATTTTATTTATTGGACTTACGGGGAAATGGGTATATAACAAACACCCAGTAGATTCTATCTTACATCAAAGTGCAGTATTTTGGGATGGAGCTTAGTATGTAGTAATCCATCCTGCATATAAAATTCTCTTAATCTTCTTGAAACCCATTTGTGGCCTAATATTATGGAACGAGTTTGTATCGAGTTTTATCGAATTATAAAAGTTTGTGTGGTAAATCGCGTGCGCTCCTTATCAATTTTTCGAATCGCAAAGTGAAATCCTAGTTTTTAGCTAATTATTATAAAAATCCGGAGCGCAAGTAAAAGTAAAACCAGCCGGCGTAAAAGAATATTCAAAAGCCATTTTAATTAACTCGAGTATTGCGCTTCCACTGTCATACCGTACTAATAATAGTAATAAGCAATAATAATATTATGGCGCGCTAATAATGTAACGTGCATTAACAGAAATAATTACGAGCGTTTATGTATAGCTTCATCCATTCTAATAGCTCAGCTAACCGTTAATTTATTGTAAAAATAAACTACTTACGAGATGACGAAATTTTAACTGCATACATTTTAAGTTCGCTACAGAAAAATATAACTAATATAATTCTTCTGTATAACGGTGTTAATAAATATGCAAAATAAAATATATTTCAGTATATCTCGCAAAGTATATCAATATTTCCAGTTGTATAATCTACAATTATGTAAATTCTTGTCTCATCACTCGGTACCTCCTAAAAAATTGTATTTTAATAAGTGGGTTTCATTTCTCATCACCTATCGATATCTCCCATAAGATTTTAATAGGAAGTGGGTTTCTTGTCTTACTACCTATAGGTATCTCTCATAACAATACAATATTAAGTTGTATGCTACCTATTTGTATATAAAAAGTGATTTTTTATTCATTTAAACAGCATTTTTTCCAGCGTACCCATCGGTAAGTTTAATCGAATATTACCCAGTTGAATTGGTGAATCGATTGCACGGTTAGTACCCGTTGGTACCAATGTGTAACACTTTATGGTAACTTGCATTTACGTGAGTTTAACGACGGCAACGGCTACCAGTTGGTATAATAAAAGTAGATATATCTGTACACATATCTGGTACCCATATAGCGTTGTAGATTTATATATTTCGTTTATAAAATAAATAAATTAAAATTATATTTATGAGGGTTATATATTATAAACAATAGATATTTATATCTTCATTTTATCGTTCGTTACATGACAATTAATTTAATTTAAACTATTATTAACATCAGTAGTACCTGCCTGCCTGTTTCTTATCAGTAGGGAATCATATTCTCGGAGTCATTTTATTCACATTAGCCAAAATATTTTAGACTCGTTTAGTCTCAGACGGGTTTCCCGCTTAATCACCTATTCTTCCCAAATGCACGCTCAATGTAAGTACCTAATAAGGGATACTGTTCTTACCTACTATTGTAGTCTCCCCAATTTAATTAACCAAAATCCTTCGACTTCTATTATGACATGTAATAAAATAATTACTGTTTTGTGAGAAATAAGAAGAACAAGGGATTATTTTTGGGAAGTCGCATTAGTACAAGTATTTACCTGCTAATCACAGTTTTTCGAGTCCAATCAAACATTATTAGAATTTTGGTGAAATATCTATAAATAATAATAATAATAAGATAAGGTAGATTGGGGCAAATTTTTATTATTTTTATAGTTCTTTTGTGCATTAGACGGGGTTTGTTTCTTATTTTTTTCTTTATTATTTTGTAGCTCTGTTATTTTTTGAAATAAATAAATAAACAGCATATCAAATTTTAGAGGAACCAAATATTTTTTTACAATTGCCCCATATGTTTTTCTATATAATTGTATTGCACTTTAGAACCGTTTGTTACATTTACCCCGTACCATGGGGTAAATGTAACATATTGTCAACATTTTAAAAAATGTAAAATCGTTTTCTTCCTTTTTCGAAAAAAACTTTTTAATACATCGATTCTTTAGTTCAGAAAGTTGTGAATTTATTGTGGTATCAGCATTTCTAATAAGAGAAAAATTAAAGCCACATTTTAGGATTTAATTTGAACTATTCAAATTTTACAACCGATTTGCCCCAGTCTACCTTATAATTTTCCGGTGTAACGGAAAAAATCTTATAGTAGAGAAACAATAAATTTGGCAACAGAGATAATAACTCAGCAGCGAATTATTGTATTGCAGCATCGCCTTTGGCGCGTGTCTTCGGCATATCGTTGAATTCCTGCGAAACGATTGTTCAAAAAACCGTAAACATAAACTATAAAATATTGCGGGATTTCGCAATCGACGGCGCGGCGATTTTGTTTTTCATAGGCTACTGTCGAAACCACCACGAAAAGTTTGTGCAAACTCGAATTTACGATTGGTCATAGGCTAATGAACTTGCAACTAGTTCAGTGATCACTGCAACGCACGCATGTTATTCGCCGAATCCTTGCGAAACTCTGCTGGGTATTTTTGTATTTTTATTGGTTAAGGATCATCGGGGGTATATGCATCGTGTATTATACGCGGATCTCGCTTTTAATTTGATTTAATTATTATGATATTGTGACGGTTTCAGGCGCAATACCACTCGTCGAAATGATATAATAATTTTGTTGCATTATTGTGAAATATTTTGTATTATTGAGGTGGTTTTTATAAGGATGCATGTATTGGATTTATGGGATAACCGGATATAAAATAATTGGAATGGTTCAGTCATTTTAGATCGGTTTAAATGTAGTAAAAAAAACTTCGGAAATAATGAAAAAAATATTTATAAAAGAGTTCTCTTAATTGAAATTTAATAAAAATATGATAAATATTGTGGAGGTTCAAAATTCTTCTTAAGCTGATGAAAATCTTAAAAATCCCTCAAAAAACTTGATATACCCATCTACTAACAAGATAAAAAATTGAATTAGGCTAAAATTAAGTAAAGAACTTTTGAAATCAAGACATTCTCCATAAAATCATCATCGATATGATTTTTTTAGACCAAAGAATC